CACTAGTGCTAGGTTAAAAGGACACCCACAGGTCAGTAGAGATCATATTTTTTTTTTCATGCCTATCTCATTCCATTTTTACCAGCACTATTTCTAAGTAGCAGAGAAGTTTAAAAAAAAAATGCTATAGGTTGATGCTGGTTAAAGTAAAAATAGTGGGAAAATTATCTTTGCATCATATAAACTGTTTCACTTAACCAGTTAAACTGAATGTAAAGCCAGCAAACTTCTTATAAAAGAATAAAAAAGATCCACTGTAAATTAACTGATAAACATATAACAAATACCTTAAAATGACACGTGAGCACAGAGTATTAACTGTCATTCATTTTGAGGATAAAACTTAAAAAAAACGCAAAATCTACATACATAATTGTTAGAAAGTCAGTCTTCTCTTTCCAAGTTAGCTGATACATATATTCATTACTTTTTAACCACTGATACAGAAAAGTTGTCTATAGAGCCTTTTTGGAACATCAGATAAAATATTGTTTCACATAAAATACTATGATTCCTCATATTTTAAAAAAACATTTACCTGTTATTTTAATTTTATTGGCCTATAAATCTGAGTATTTTACCTTTTCCTAATCTGATTTTTTAAAGGAAAAAATAGTGATTATGTACATAAATTATGTAAACATACCTTTTTAGCCAACATTAAACCTATAAGAAGTAACTGCTATTGCCCAATTAAAAAGGTGCATTTTCAGAACTTCTTCCTCAATCCTCTTTTTTTTTAAAGGTCACAATATCATACAAGATAGCAATTTTAGAAATTCCCCCTTGGCCCCATACTTCTTAATTCAATACTGAAGAGCAGCATCCTTCATCTGAATTACTTCTTATGGCATATTCATATGCTATAAGGTGTAACATTGGATTTAACTTTTACCTGGTATTTTTTATTAAAAGAGGAAAAAGTTGACATTTTTAACTATCAAAATCTTAAATGGAATCTCACAGGTAAACCATAAATGGAAGATGCTCCTTTGACTTTTTATTTCCCCCCTACAAAATAACACTTCAAATTAAAGGAATCTATTCCTTAACAGTTAGATAATTTAAATTTGTATTTGGTTGATATATTTTCTTTGGTGAATTTTTAAACCAAAGATGGAAAGACAAATATAGAAACCAGATTGTTATCAATTCTGTAGTTGGGGATGGACTGTCCAGTTCATTGCTCTTTGGGAAAAAAGAATTTGTTAAACCTACCTCAATTTAAAAAAATTCCATTTATATTTTAGCTATTTCTAATTTGAGACCTAAGTTACACAGAACATAATAACATTACAGCAGACACTAAATGCATCTTAATTTGCAAACAATTTTCCAAAGTCTAGAAGCAAAACAAAATCTCTATTTTATGTACTATGCTGCCAAGTTGTGCCACATCATTTCCAACTTGCTGATAACTTCTGCCCTAAACTGGTGTATATTTTATATATGGCTAATACCTAAAACTACAAAAATTCTGAGAAGAAAAAAAGCTATCAAAGTTTTGTGATGGTGTGGTACAGAAGAAATGTACCAACATTAGCAAAGAAGGATGCATGATGATGATGACTCCTGGGATCACCAAATTTCTGGGACCACCAAAAATCTAAGTACACTCAGACTGACTTAATAGTATTTCCTCTGTATGTTCAGTGCCAGTATGATAATTAGGCACATAGGTAATACTAAATTTTATGTTTTACATTATCAACATTGATCACCTTGACAATGAAAAATTATGCCAATCTGGTTGCACATAATTTTCAATGTTAAGTGCTCACTGCATTAGAGTTTAAGATATCAGTTTCTAACTGATTTCAAACAACCTGTTTCTTAAAAACTTAAAGTGTTACAAGTACATGTCTAAACCAGATTAGCGGTTTGAAATATGAGATAAAAAATTAGACTTGGAAGATAAAAAGCCTCATGTTTACTGTTACATAGCCATCATCTAGAAAAGTTGCTCTAAAATTCTTATAGGCTTTCCAACCACTAGCATGATGTATCATGAAACAAATACTATTAAAAAAATGTAAAACTTTACTTTATAATCAAAAATAAAAAATGGAGACCTTCCTTGCCAGTGTTTATAGATTAATACTGCCCCCTAAAGACATACTATTTTTTTTATTTACAAATGAACATGCAGAGAATTACGTGGACAACCATCAACAACTAAAGAACTAAAAATGGACCCATAAAATTCTCACAATGTGAAGGGAGGAAAATACCTTACGTCTTTAAAATAGTCACAAAAATAGTGCAAACAAAATCTGGAAAGATTTATTTTCTGTATTCCAGTGTTATAATTAAAGCTACTAAAGGGAATTTGAGCATATGGTGAGAAATATTGAGCGTAGCTGACACTATGTTTAAACACAGTTCATATGGTATATACACTTTAAATGATGTTACCACCTTTCTACCATGAAATAATAATCTTCATACTTTTTAACCACATAGGGAAATGATGTTATAGCTGCTCTACGCACTAGTGAGGCTGTTTCTTTTGACAGCAGAAATTAATGGAATAAACTTATTAATCCTTTCTATTGTGCAACAGAGTTAATTCACCACTTAGATGACTGAAAGCTGGCTGATTTGAAAACTACTTTAAAATAGCTAGAAACATTGATCAAAATAGCTAGAAACATTGATCAAAGCTATTTCATTGCGGGTTTTTTGAATTTAAAAATATCCTCAGAAATAAAATTAACTGGAAAATGGCAGCATACAACTGTTATGTGGCATAAAATTGTAAGGCATAAATTTGAATAAGAAAAATGTATCTTAACTATCGTCCATTTATGGTATAGTTACCCACATTTCCAATACTTACTCATCTTTGTTTACTTTTCTATATTTTTTCCTAGATTTTATACGTTAATGTGCTATGATTCGCCAACAGAAGAAACTGCAAAAATGGAGAACATTACATAACATGTTACAAACATGTTACATATCATGTTTAGCAAATAAGAGTAAAGGGAGGCAATGGGGTATCAATATGCATTAGTGTGAGACAAGAATTTGATTCTGGCTCTGCTTCTTAGATATGTGATTATTACAACCCTTTTTAGTCTCTGTTTCCTGAAGATGGACATGGTGTGTATGGGTCTTTGGGTTTTGGGAGACTAGCCAGATTATCCCTAGTGTTTCTTTAAGCACAAATTTTTGACTATCATAAATAGGCACAATAATTGATAATAATTGGTGGTGAGAGTGTCAGGATTACAAATTATAATCATTACTATCTTAGCCCCAAGAACCTCAAATTCTTTTATATTTAACTTTTTTTTTTTTTGCTTTTTTGGGTCACACCCAGCGATGCACAGGGGTTACCCCTGGCTTTTCACTCAGGAGTTACTACTGGCGGTGTTCAGGGGACCATATGAGATGTTGGGAATCGAACCCGGGTTGGCTGCGTGCAAGGCAAACACCCTACCCGCTTATCTCTCCAGCCCCAATACTTTTTTTTTTTTAGCCCCAATACTTTTATATTTAAAGTCTTACTTCTAATTTCCGAGATCGCCTGGCAAGTTCCCTGTGGCGTATTCGATATGCCAAAAACAAATCTCACATTGGAGACGTTACTGTTGCCCACTAGAGCAAATCGATGAACAAAGGGAAGACAGTGCTACAGTGCTACTTCTAATTTAACTTCTCACTTTACATTTTCTCTTACTTTATAATAACATGACCCTAAATTGATGTCATAAAGTTCCCTAAAACCTTCAATTTTTTTATATTTCTTAATCCAAATTGGCATAGACGGTATCAAATTGCTGGAAACAAGTATTTTCTCCCTAACTTTTATATAGATTAACATATTATTTAATGGAAGTTAAGAAGTATAAAGTTATTAAAGAACAAAATATGCCATTTGGAGGGAGATGTCTGGGGCCATATGAGTGCCAGGGATTCAAGGTGACCTGCAAAGGCAAGTGTTTTACTATGTACTATCTCTCTGGCTCCTGACAGATTTTTAATAATAATGGATATCTAAAAAATCTTAAGTGCCAATAAATAATGCAAATAAATTATTAAAAATATCTTGGAAAATGACTTAAGATTTGCTGAGCTCATCAATTTTAACATAAAATCTGTTCTATTTTATAGTCTGACTATAAAGATTGAACCAGATTAAACATTTTTATTGGGGGCAAATTATATCATTTAAAATAATAGAAGGCAGGACCAGGGTGAGAGCTCAAAGGGCCAGACTACAAGCTTTACGTTGGAGGTCCTAACTTTTGTCCCTGGCACCATGGGTCTGGTCCTGGTTGGCCCCACTGGGCTGAGCACTAAACCTTCAGGCCTGGACCGCTACGCCAAGTAAAACCTGTCGGCTTCTTAAGCACTAACCTCCCACCCTCAAAAAAAACTACAGAATGGGGCACAAATGTTAAAGTGTCCTTAGAAAAACATGGTTGTGTAAATGTATAAATAGAAACATGAAATTTTTAGATTGAAAATATATTTCAAAACTGCACTTCAGGTATAATTTATTTATCTCTTTGGGGGAGGGTACGCGTGAGGGGACGGTTGGTTTCTGGGCTACCCTAAGGTACATGTGAGATCATGGAATGCCAGAAGTCAAATCTAGGCATCTCATGCAAAGTACACATTAAGTTATTTCTCTGGCTCTCAGTATAATTTATTTCTAACAAACCAAATGGAGAATTTTGGGGGAGGTGATAGGGATATTGCTCAGGGATCTACGTGGTGCCAGAAAATGAATCAGGGACTCCACATGCAAAACATGTACTCCAGTTCTTTGAGCTATCTGTCCAGGCTATTACTTTGGTATTATTTGGTATTTCTTTGTGCTTTAAAATCACACTGGATTTAGATGCCAATAAATGCACAACTTTCTGAATTAAAACCCTTCCATTTCAAAATCAGACATTCCTGATATACAGTGACTGACTACAGATAAGATTTCACTCTCCAGTAAGTACAATATTCTTTTCCCTCATACCTGAAACTTTGCTTTCTTAAATGATATTAATCTTTATACCACATTTATCTTGGCTGCTTTTAAATTCTCATCATTCTGATATTCCTTAGTTAAAAGAAGCAAGGGATATCTAAAATATGTTTTTTTATGATATATACATATAAACAACACATATACATAACCATAAATCAATAAATCTCTATTTAACCAACTTTTATATTTATCCCAGACTTTGGCAATGTAGTAAATACTAGTTCCAATTTTCATATGAGCTGAATGTTACACATCACAAAATTCAAACAAGGATCTCATTCTTATAACAGTTCTAAAAGATTAATTTTAAAAACAAACAATAATTATTAAAATCAAAGAGTGGGAGTTATTTTTAGATATGAACAAACAAGAGGCATTTTTCTGGTTACTTTATTTATCAAAACCTACTGTAATATTCATTGGAAGAGAAAATTTCAAACTTTGTTAATTAGGAGAATACTTGCTTTCTACAACAAAGTAAGTATATATATTTTTTTTTCTTTCACAATGATAAAATTAAAATGTCAATGGACAAAACAACAATAGCTCTGACATATTTTGTGAAAGGATAATGCATAGCAGTTCAAGTCATAATATACACTGATTATCAAAAATCAATATATTCTTTTATCTCACTCAAGCATTAGAGCCTGAGACCCGGTGGAGTTTATAATAAGATTTTATCCAACCTTATCAGAACTGAATCAATATTTTTTAACTGATAATGCATTTTTGGTAAACTTTTAGCAGAGTTACCAAATACTACGTACATACATTCAGCATCTAGCTTACTGGCATGATTTCAAAATTTTATAAAAATGAGAAACTTTTGCAGATATACTGATTAGAAGGTACACAAATTGCATTACAATAAACACAAAGGCAGTGTGGTCCTTATAGGAGAAATGAAGTCAGTACCCCCTGGTAAAAATGTTCTATAAAAATGTGTCACCTTGAAGCATCAGTGTTTTCAGCCAATTATCTGTCCCTGATGTATTTCCTTGGAGTATATGATCTATCAGGACTTCAGGTTTCTTAATCCAAAATATCTGACTGAATTTAGGTACATCTAAAAAAGCAGCTTGAAAGGGTTTCTCCAATAATCTGACATCACAGAAAGTGGGTTGAGAAATCCCTCTCTTTACCTGAAGACGTACTTATTCTACTTCAGTCATCAGCTCACAAAGGAAAAGAAAAAAAAAATCTATCAAAATTTCCCCTCATACACACAATCCCACACAAACCAACACAAACTGACCCATTCCCGCCCCCCACCCCCATCCCCCAGCACCAAAATGTCAATCATTCCTAAAATAGAACATGCCCCTTGGATTCTCTGATTTGTCGGTTGTTCAATCTTTAAGGACAAAAATGCCTTAAAGTCCTTGTGGGGAGGAGGGAAGACAGTTAATAATGACTAAAGAGCCATTGAGAAAGTGCATTATCAATTACACAATCAAACTTGGGCCCTGTCCTTCCTTGGAGGTGGCCAAAATTTGATTAGAATGTCTCAGTAATTGAACATTTATGTCCTTGATAAAGAGATGGGGGGAAATAGAGCCACCCTCATTTTAATGAAAAAGTGCAGCACTCTACCACCTTTCCCCAAGCTTCTCAAGAAAATGATTGCACAGACTCAGAGAAGTCCAAAAGTCATAGCAGAATCTCTGAGGCACTCCTGGTTAAGAGAGAAAAAATATGATCCAGTGATCTTCATAGTTTACAGATTATGAGAACAAACCCGTTTTGTTTTTTTAAAGAAAGCCAAAGAATCATTTCATAGGGATCATAAACACCATTTCCTCTAACATATCCTCAGTCTCACAGTGTTGAAATGGGACCGATCAGCCTACGATGGGATTGCACATCACCCAAGGAGAAAGGAAGGCATGTAAATGCAAACATTCTGTACTGCTTCACAAACACATTTACAAGGAATAGGTGAAGATAGAGAAAGGAGGGGGAAAAAAACCTTATTGCTGTTTCCATACAAAATACAGTATGAAGGTACCTAAACTAAAATCAAATTTGATTATGATGCCTAGTATTTTCACAATGTGGGATGAAGTATTTTTCTTGCGCAATGAAATGTTCAGTTTTAAAGGTAAGCAGAAAGATGAGAGAGGATGTCAAAACTACACCTGGGATATTAGCTGCATATTAAAACTTGGGGATCGAGACTGCTTGGTTAAGGGAGCTCCTGAGCTGAGGAGCTCTTTGTTTTCTCCAGTTTGCCCTAGTCGATCTTCTTGTAGACTGATAGTTGAAAATCGATTAGCACTGTTAGTTGCTAAATTAGTAACTCCCTCAATGCCAACCCCAATGCTGGTACTTGCTTGACTGCCATTAACATAGTCAAATGATTTACTTGAGGAAGCACTGGCTGTCCGGATTAGCTTATTTGTTTTTGGCACCACCTGGCCAGCAGGTAGGCTCAGGTGTTTCTTCATAGGTGTCAGCTCAACTGAATCTACACTAGAATCAGCTGGTTGCTGTACATACTGCCTTCGAACTACTGAATCTCGAGGGCTTTCACTGGATTTGATGGCAGAGGTTTCTTTATCCTTAGCTGAACGCCCAGTTGCTACTTTCCTTAAACTTCCCCTTTGAGAAGATGAAGATGGTTTGGTCCCTGCTGGCTGACTGCTGAGGGAAGCTCCAGATGAAAAACCTTCATCCGCATCATTCAGGTTAAGAGATTCCTCTCCATTTACACCCTCAGCACCTAAAAAACAAATCAGGCAGAATCAGCAATAGCTAAATAAACAAGCAGCAGCTGTGAATAACAACTCAACTGACCTCCTCTCAAGCAGTGCTTGCAATAGATCGGCAATGGCCTTTTAGTATCAATACCACCCTAAATAATTTAGAAAAGAAACAACCTATACAAAATCCTTACACAGAATTCTAACATTATTTTGTTCTTTTAGTTTTTCTCAGCTTCGATAAAATTCTCCAAATAATATAGCATACTATCAATAATTAGGTACATAAAACTACTTTATGTAAAATCTGTTATTGTAAATTTTAATAGCACATTCATGTCAATTTGAAGTGACTGTCTGTCTCTATTGGAAAAACAATTTCCACCTTAATCCATCATAAAATGGTGTAAAAGCAATCTCCTTTCTAGTTACCAAAAATAGAGCCCCAAACCCACTTAACCCCCATTAGCCAACCTTTTAACTACAGTAAAGTTGTATATTTATTCAACAGCAAACTGCTCCTAAATGCCTTTAAAAATCTGTAATTTGTAACAAGTAAATTTCCTGACTCCAAACTAAAAAATTCTTCTTCACTTTCAGTAACATCTTAATCATATTGTCTTATGGACATAAGTTAATCACTGGTTTCCATATTGATCAACGTGCAAAAAAGTTGATTATCAAGGCTAAGAGACCAGCCTTGGTTTTTTTAAAGAGGATTTAAAGATTTTAAAACTTTTAGCAGTATGCATTTCTAGCATTTTAGACTTTCAGTACTGAGATAATCATAATCACAAAATACTACAGTGTCATTATGTATTACCTAGAAAATATATTATCTTGAAATTTTCTAAGAATGAGAGAAGAGTACTTGGTTTTAAGTTTCCATGAAGGTTTTTTCTTTACCTACTATTTATTTTACAGAGAAAGTTAATACATTTGCTTCTTCCAAAAACTGATAGCGATTTGCCACTTTATTAAATGTTTCCCAAACTGCATGAAAATATAATCTGAATTTACATACATATATCCATATTCCAGTTGGGTAAAATGTTAGGTAAGAAATCTGAACAAATATGACTGAGATAAAGATTACCTAAATAAAATTTTTAAACACAATATTTAACATAATACCTAGAAAAATAATTTTTTTCATATGGATTACTTCCCTCCTTCCAAGAATAAAATAAGCTATCTTTAAAGCAAAAGGCCATCTTGCATTATATCCAGCAGTTTAGTCCTTAACAGTCATGCAGAGCCATATAAAGTGCAACTGACACATCTCTCAACTCCTTCAAAAAAAAGTTAAATGGTTTTGAAACAAAAACTTCAAATTACATTAATATACATCTTTGCAATTTACTTACAAGTTACTTAAGAACTCCAAACTGCCCAAAAGAGAGTTACTAGTTCAAAAATGACAGAAGGAAAATAAAACTGATGTATATAGAAATGTATCACTGGGTTTATATATAACAGGAAAGGAGACTGAGAGAGTGCTAGTTCCTGAATCTTGCCACATGCAGACTTGATGCCCAAGCAATATGGTCATAAAGAGAGATGATAACATAAAGCCACCATGCAAGAGAATCTATCAATAGTTAACATAATAAGAATAGCTATTTCAATGTGATGGAATCCTAACTACACTTATGATAGGTGTTGTCCTCAGTTTCATAATAACTTTATAGTCAGCTTTAAAAGTCAGAAATAAAATGTTACTTGACAATCAGAATACATTATATTCTCCCTTTGTTCAACATACAATAATTACAATTTTAACTGTAAAAAATCAATACTATTATATTGGATTACAAATTTCTTTAAAAACGAATTTACAAAAAATACAGAAATAAATTTATCAGTGTTTATCCAAGAGCTCCAGAAAAATAAAATTTATGACAACTTCTTTTTTGGTTTGTTTGTTTTTGTTTGGGGTCACACCCAGCTATGCTCAGGGTTACTTCTGATTCTGCACTCAAGATTAACTCCTGGTAGTGGACCACGTGGGATGCCGGGAATTGAACCCTGGTCAGCTGCCTGTAGAGCAAGTGTCCTATCTGTTATACTGTTTCTCTGGCCCCAGATTTGCCACAACTTTTTATGTTTTAATAGTTGCTTCCTTTGCTTTAAAAACCTCAAGGGATTAAAAAGGCAGTCATGTCTCACACTTTTCCATTCTAATTTCCTCCCTACGTGAAAAACAATACTGTTTGTGATAAATAAGGACAGTTAATGCATTTTCTATTACATCTGAATTTCCCTATAAATTTAGCTTCTATTCATAAAGATTTATACTTATTACTAATCTATGCTAAAGGGAAAGAATTGGGGGAGCAACACCCAGCACTGCTCAGAGCCTACTCCTGACTCTGTACTCAGGAGTCACTCCTGGTACTGCTCAAGGGACCATATGTAGTGCTGAGGCTCAAACTCAAGTGGGCCATGTGCAATGCAAGTGCCCACTTGCTATACTATAACTCTGGCCCTGGCAAAGTAATTTTTGAGAACTTTCAGATACACAAAGATAAGTTATTCCTTTTTTCCTATACCACACACATTCATACAATGAAATTTTTACCACTGATAAGAAACTACCCAAAATGGCAATTTTAATATTTAAAAATCATATTAAAAGCAAATACTATTTTGGTTCCTTAATATTTTTCGATTTTCAGGCCACACCCAGTAATGCTCCTGGCTATTCCCAATGCATTGCTCCAGAGATGGTGCCTGGCTGTACTTGTAGTGCTAAAATTCAAACCCAAGCCTCCAGCATGTGAAGCATGTACACTAGCCCTTTGTATTTGGGCTCTTTTTTAGAGCATGGCTTTCAGTAAGCTGAAAGAAAAGTTTCAGCTTAATACCATATTTTATAGAAAAGAGTATTACATTTATAATGTAGTATATCATTTAGCACAAATATTCAAACATTCTATCAAGGATAGTACATATACAAGCTTCTGTAGTCATCAAGAATATCGAGAAATAGGCTGCTGTTCAATTTAGGTCAACTTTAAGTTTGACTCTATTCATACACTTATTTTCATGTCTTCCTACAAAATAAAAGTGACTCACAAGAATAACAAAGAGATACAGAAAAACTAATTGGGAAGACTGTATCTTTCACAGTCACTTAAACAAGAGTCTCTGCAAAGCAGCATCAACTTCTTTGAGTCCCTAGATCATGCACATGCAAGGCCATTAAATGAAGTAAGGTCGATTTGGGCAAAGTGCCAAGGGAACAGAGGGTAAATTTAGATTTTTACTGAGCATGCTCAAATTTCTATTGCATCAAAGAGCAAGACACTTCCCTAAGGTGTAAGGTAATGCTTCATGTACGTTTGATCTTTAGAATATGCGAAAACATATAACCTACTTTTGAATTTCCTACTATGTTTTATAAATTAATATAAAGCTTCCATAGTAGCAATACATTAAATAGTGAAAAAATATTGTTACAGTTCCCTCTTCCACAAAGTAAACTATGGCATCACATGTTAATCAGCCAACAAATACTTTTCAATCAGAGAGAAGAGTTTTCACATAAAGTAGTAGTGGGAGGGACCAAGGGGCATGTAAAGAAAAGTCCTCTTGAATTACCTACAGTGTAGAAATAAAGATTTATTAGAATATACTTAACCTCTAAATAATACATTTCAGTTGTATGAGAGCTATAAAAGGCAACAGCTATTTATGATAGTGATTAAATGTAGTGTGCCCAGAAAAGCACATTTATAGAGGAAAGATGATTCTTCACTAGAAATAGACAAATAGATGAGATTTTACAAAACCATCAATACCAGTTTTTCTATCAAAGAGATAAGAAATTCTTGTTAATGAATCACCCTGGAATTAGAGCTTAAATGGTTGGCTCCACTTTAATACAATTTCTGAAAGATGTTAATGTTTTAAATTTCCTCATAGTTTTAAAGAATTATAAAAATGAAATCATTTCTGTAAGGCTCATGTCCATCGGTGCATTTTCCCTTTTCTAATGTTAGAATAAACATGCTCAGTAATTTAAAAAAAAATCCCAAGCATTTGCATATCTTTTGGAGACAGGCCTCTGTCTTGTTAATAGCCATGCCAAGCTGTTTGTTGATTACACAAGGATGCAGACTCCAGGCTAGCACAAATGGTAACTAAAGATTGTACCTGACCTGGTGCTAGGCAAATGGGAAGGTATGCTTTGCAAGAGGAGCTAATACACCCTGGGGTACTGGAAACACACACTAGAATGGAAAGATGCTCTGCTTGGGGATAGAGGAGAGCCAGGATCCTTCTCCAGCAACTGCCTCACTGACTTCTGCCTCCTCATCTCTGTCCTACCCTCTGTTGTGGCTGCTGCTGAGTTGGGCTCCGGTGAGCCGTGCTCAGGGGTCCTGCGCACCAGCACCTCCCCCTCTTGCACACGTTTGATCCCTAGGTCAGTGGAGCCGTGTTGGATCGGGGAGCCAGGAATACTCGAGTCAGCCTCGTTTGAGAAGTCAAAGCCATCTGGGATTCAACATATAAAATTTTAGTGCTTTTGAGCTGCTCTATTCTTTTCTGAGCATTCTGACCCAGGCAGATTAGAGAATGTATATATGGATATGTATAAAACACAAACACTGTTTATATATTTTTATGTGTGTGCACAGCATGCACACACATAAGGCAGCAGATGAACAATGTGAGGTTTGGAAATGAATAGGACAAAAAAATAGTGATCATTAAAATGGCAATTAATATATCTTAGGCAAGACAACTAAATCATTCAAGTATGCTTATGAAATACTGCTGGATTCAGCACTTAAAAAAGCAAAGATAGAAATCTAAAATCTGTAACCAATTTTTTTTGGTGAATAATTTGTATCACATCGTTAGTTAAATTTCTCCCACAATGCTCATACATGCACCTTATTTTCCCAATACGGTAAAAAGAAAAATTTCTATTATTACTAGTAAAAAATAAGACCCACCCAAATTGATCACATTTTGTTTTAATATTCAGAAAGTACTCTAACATCTTTCTACTTTATTAAAAAAATACAAATATACATATATATGCATATGTATTCAGACATTGAAACCACATTTTTAGTGCTAATTTTTAGGAACTAAGCAATTTTACTTTATATAAAGTGTTTTATAAAATGTATTCACAAAGTCACTAAAAAAACTGTGATAAATTTGTATGATGGGCTATAGGAAATTTGTATGTACCTTCTCTTCTCCACCTATGACGACGGATTGAAGCTGTTGTAATAGCAGTCCGAGAAATCCTCGGCACTGTTGGAGTGACTTCCACTTTAAGAACTTTCTGGCCTTCTTGTGAAGAATCCGGAGCATCAAATGGTAATGAATTTTTCATGGCATTAGCAACCTAAAATGATGTAACATAAGTCTATATATAATTAAACCAATATATAGACTATCCTTATTCTATGTTTCTTCAACTTTTTAAACATGTGCTCAAAAAAGTTGCTCTATAAAATACAAAATCTAGGGGCTGGAGCGATAGTACCGTGGGAAGGGCATTTGCCTTGCATGTGGCAGGCCGAGCTTTGATCCCCAGAACTGCATATGTTCCCCCGAGCACCAGCAGGAGTGATTCCTGAGTGCAGAGCCAGGAGTAACCCCTGTGCATTGCCGGGTGTGATACCAAAAAAAATTAAATAAATAAATACATACATACATACAAAATCTAAAGGAAAAAGAATTATTTAATATTTGAACCCTAACATAAGAAAAATTTTTAAATAGGGCAAGAGAGATCAGCAGGATTGGCACATGAGGTCTGGGTGTAATCCTTGGTACCATACTGTCCCCCAAGTACTGAGCTGGGAGTAGCCCCTGAGCAGTCAGGTGTGGCCAAAAAAATTTTTAAGTTTCTGATTCTTCAGATACATAATATGTAAAATTTAATCTCCGATTAAAAAAATAAAATGTTAGCCTTTTCCTCTATTCCTTTGTGACCATCACACACATACACACAAATACACACACACGCACACACACACACACCATAAAACCAAAACTGACGGTTTAGAATTTAGATGTTTATGTGGTTAAAAAATAAAAATCAAGGGGTAAGAGAAATAGTAAAATGGGCAGGTCACTTGCCTTGCATGTGGTTGACCCAGGCTTAATTCTGAGCACCCCATATTGTCCCCAAGCACTACTGAGAAGGATCCCTGAGTGCAGAGCCAGTAGTAAGCCTGAGCATTACCTATGTGGCCCCCAAACCACCTCCTCCTCACCCCCCTAAAAAAAAGTCAATTTAAAGGATTTGTACTATGGCTTAAGCACAGAAAAACCTTCCTTCTATAAAAATTTGGGTGTTTATTTCTTCTCTGAAAAAGTTTTAGAGCAGTTCTGTAATTTATCTGAACTCTATTTTGATATGTGGGAAGAGATGACTGTAATAAGCCTTTTTTTTTTTTTACATCAATGCTTTGGATTGTCCATTCTGATGCATACAAAAATTTTTACCCATAATTCTTCTTTCAGACATATGCATGTTTAATAAGAAGTAAATTATAAAGGCCAGAGAGGTAGTAGAGCAGGCAGGGAATTTGCCGTGCACATGGTTAACCCAGGTTCAATCCCTGGTATACCATACGGTCCCTTGAGCACCAGGAGAGATTTCTCGGTGCATAGCTGGCACCAATCTGAGCACAGTCAGATGGAGCCCCAAAACAAAACAAAAAGATCTTTAAAAAATAACAATAAAGAACAAACAGAATTAGCTTACCAGTAGTGGTTGAGAAAAGAGTTCTAGCTGAGCTCTGTAAATGATGTCATCAAGGACTTCCTGGCCTAGCTCCCACTGTCCATTGTACCTATGAAGAAGTAGATTGTTTACTACCTTTAGCTAACATCTTTACTCTTCAACAACCACCTTTTTATTATTCCAAGTCTGCTACCTTGATTTTGAAACAAAATAAAATTCATATCTATTCATCTATAAACTGATCAACTCTTTCTTACAAGACAAAGAGAATTTCAAATACTTATATTAGTTTATAGATTTTGCTTCACAGAAATTGGTTTTGATCATTTGTTGATATTTAGGATAATATAATGTACAATGAAGAAAGGAAGTTGTTAATTTTTTTAAAACCAATACTTTATAGATTCCAACTTTTGGGCTAATTATTGTTTGGCTATATTTTAAACTAAGAACACTACATACAATTATATGTCACCAAATTCAACAACCTAAAGGAATTGTATTACTGCCTAAAAATATACAACCTACGAAGACTAAATCAAGGAGAAAGAAATCTGAACAGAACAATAACAAGTAAGGAGGTAAATGAGTAATTAAAATCTATCAAGTATTTGGATATTTGTGATATATTAAATATATATCTTTAGTATTTAGGGGCTGGAGCAATAGCACAGCAGGTAGAGCGTTTGCCTTGCACACGGGCGACATGGCCAACCCGAGTTCGATTCCTCCAGCAAGCTACCGACACTATCTCACCCTCATCGCAAAGCCTGGCAAGCTCCCCGTGGCGTATTCGATATGCCCAACACAGTAACAAGTCTCACAATGTTACTGGACCCGCTCAAGCAAATCGATGAACAACGAGAGGACAGTGACAGTGACAGTATTATTAAAGTGTCCATATCTCCCAAACTACAAATTCAATTAATTCCTTATCAAAATTCCACTGGCATTTTAATTTTAAAAAATCCATCAAAAATTTTTTTTCATCTTAAAATTTGTATGGAACCACAAAGTTCTAATAGCCAAGACAATCTGAGAAAGAGTAAACCTAACGTCATCACACTTACGACTTTTAACTATATTAAGCTTGCAGTAATGAAAAGTTTGGTATTGACAGTAAAGCAGAAACAGATATCTATAAATGGAACAAAGGAGAAACCAGAAATAAGCCTACCCACATGGTCAATTTATAACAAAGATACCAAGTACACACAATGGAGAAAGTAGTGTCTCTGATAAACGGTGCTGGAAAAAATGGAAAGCTATATGCAAAATAATTACAGTGGATTACTTTATGTCATGTTTTTAAAAAAATGGACCGAAGACTTGAAAATATAAAATTCATAGAAAACAAATAGAAAACTCCCTGACATCAGTCTCAATGATTTTCTCAGATTCCAAAAACCCAAAACAAAGACAACAGGAGCAAAAGCAAAGGTGGGGGGGGAGGGAGATCAGTGTATGCTGGAGCAATAGTACAGAGGGTAGGGCATTTGCCTTGCAAGTAGCTGACCAGAGTTTTTTGTTTTTGTTTTTTTTTTTTTTTGATTTTTGGAGTCACAGCTGGTGATGCACAGGGGTTACTCCTGGCTCTGCACTCAGGAATTACTCCTGGCAGTGCTTAGGGGACCATATGGGATGCTGGGAATAGAAACGGGGTTGGCCATGTGCAAGGCAAACACCCTACCCACTGCGCTATTGCTCAAGCCCCTAACCCAGATTCTATCCCTTCCCTGACAAATCAAACAGGGGACATCAAGCAAAACAAAAGAAACCATCCACAAAATAAAAAGGCAATACAGATTAAGAGAAAATATTTACAAATAATATAATTTCTTAATAAGGGATTATATCTAAAATATTTTTTAGAATACATATATGTCAATTTAAAAATCAAAGAATCCAAATAAAAATGTGCAGAGGATGGGCTTGAGAAAGCTCATCCTATGTGCCTGAGTTTAATTTCTTGCACTGCATAGTCTCCCCAGAGCACCAAGAGCAATCCTCGAGTATAGAACCAGGAGTAGCCCCTTAGTACTGCTGCGTGTGGCAAAAAGCAAAAGAGCAAAAAAGAGATTGGAATAATTTTTTCCAAAAACAACAAATGGCAAATAAAGAACCAGAGATAGGTAAGTGGGCTAAACACATGCTTAGCATGTGGAAGGCCAGGATAGATCCCTGGGACCATGTAGTCCCCCAGTACCATAGGGAGCAACTCCCAGCAGTAAGCCAGGAGCAGCTCCTGAGCACTTCTAGGATATTAAACAATCAAAACACAAATGTCTAATACATACACAAAAGGATACTCAATAAACTAATGATCAAGGAAATGCGAATCAAAAACAAAGAACTTTAGGGAGATAGCTCAAAAATGGGCTGGAGCAATAGCACAGAGGGTTGGGCATTTGCCTTGCACACGGCCAACCTGGGTTAGATTCCTCCGTCCCTCTTGGAGAGCCCGGCAAGCTACTGAGAGTATCCCACCCACACGGCAAAGCCTGGCAAGCTCCCCATGTGTACTCGATATGCCAAAAGCGGTAACAATAGGTTACTGTTGCCCACTCGAGCAAATCGATGAACAATGGGAGGACAGGACAGTGCAGCCCAAAGACAAGTGCACATGTTTTATAAGCAAGAGGTCTGGGTTCAATTTCACACACTATATGGCTTCCCATGCATTTCCAGGCATCATCTAACAGAACAAAATATGTATTTTGAAAAATTGTTTTAGAAAGAAGCAATGGTGCCCATTATAGAACAAATTACTATGCAACTAATAAGAAAACAGAAATAAATTTCTAAACACTGGGAGAAAGTGTTTCATATCCCACATACTTACATGGCATAATAAACCCCTGTGAGAAGTTGCACCATAAATTCTGGATCCAATACTATTCGACCACAGAGTTCTTTCCACTGTTTTTCATTTTGCCGTGGAAACCCACTCACACAAACCCTAGGAAATAAAGTATCATATGTGAATTCTCAATTTACTAACTCATAAAATATTTACTGATTATCTGCTATTTACCACTCACTGTCCTAGGCCTAGGCATATTTTGTTCTAAACAAGCAAAAAGATGAAAAGTAAATAAAAATGAAATGTGTCCTCATAAACATATTTATACAAATATCACTGCATCACTGTCATCCCATTGTTCATTAATTTCCTCGAGCAGTAACGTCCATTAATTTCCCCAGTAACGTCTCCATTTGTCCTGGCCCCTTCAAGGGGCTCCAGTGAGGATAGCCAGGTACAGGGGCAGGAGACTCTGCATTGTTCTCTTCAGGGAGCTTGGTTTTATAGCTCCTGGATCTTGGCCATTGATGGGATAACACGGCAGAGTCTCCTGCTCATGTGCCTGGCTGTCCTCACCAGGGTCCCTTGAACAGGGACGGGCTGAGTTTCCCTCCCTGACCCCGAGCAGAGCCCCAACAGCTGAAGACCTCCGGAACCTAGCCAAAGTCATGTTTAAGACCACTCTCCACACTCTCAAATGAGCCTCACACATGAAGGAACCAGCAGAGGAACCCAGGTACGCGGGACCCGGGGCTGAGATCTCCAACCCTGCTTGGATAGGGACTGGGCCTCCTCCACCCAGATGCCCCATCTTCTAGTAGCTAGACAGTTACACCACCAACAGCCATGTAATCCCACCAACAGCCAAGATCCAGAGACTATAAAACCAAGCTCCCAGAAGAGAACAATACAGAGTCTCCCGCCCTTGCGCCTGGCTGTCCTCACCAGGGACCCTTGGAGGAAAGTGGGTTGAATTTCCCTCCCTGCCCCCAGCAGAGCGCCGGCAGCTGAAGACCTCCAGGACCCAGGCACAGCCATTCTTATTATACAAATACATAGATATATGCATATATATTCTATTCGATATGCCAGACACAGTAACAACAAAGTCTCCAATGGAGACGTTACTGGGCCCGCTCGAGCAAATCGACGATCAACGGGAGGGCCTTTACCTTTACCTTATTCTAGTGAATTATATCATAAAGAAAACATCTCAGATATTTAACTCTTTCTTTCACAATCATCCTCAGGGTCTGGAGCAATAGTATAGCAGGTAGGACATTTGCCTTGCATAAGGCTGACCTGGGTTCGATTCCCAGCATTCCATATGGTCCCCTGAGCACTGCCAGGAGTAATTCCTGAGTGCAAAGCCAGGAGTAACCCCTGTGCATCACCAGGGTGTGACCCAAAAAGAAAAAAAAAAACCACAATCATCCTCAGCTCTTCACAAAAGAAACACATATCCCAAATTATATCAGGATAAGAATACGAGATAAAGAAATCGGAAAACAAATGGACACTTCAAAATACTGATGTGCCTGGTAGCTGGGGGTATAACTCAGAATCAGAGCAATTGCCTTGCACATACAAGGACCTGAGTCTGATTCCTATCACAGCAAAATAAACAAAACTGTGGTATCCAAAAGACTGTTTTTCTTTGTGATTTTTTCACATTATTATAGCTTAAATAACATGCTACAATATGACACGATTTTGATTACAGTTACTGTGCCTCATCACCACCAAAGTGCCTAAGACCACTCACTATTGCTGTTATTTTACTTCTTTTTTGTTTTTTATTTTGGGGTCACACCTGATGATGCTCAGGGGTTACTCCTGGCTCTGCACTCAGGAATCACTCCTGGAGGTGCTCAAAGAAACATAGAGGGTGCCAGGCCTTACCCATTGTACTACTGATCCAGCCCCTGTTACATTACTTCTTAAGTCTGTTTCTCCATTCCCACCCATCTCCTACCCCCCACTGCTTGTACACTATTTCATACTTCAAGGTCAAGGGGGTTTGTTAGCAGTTTAAATTAACTGCTCTCAATTAACAAAAGTTTTGTCATAAAGAGAACCACACTTTTTTCTTCCATTAACAGAATAGCATGAATCTGAATAGAGCATTTGTCACCCCTAGGAGAGACCAGGAATCTTTGAGTCCTTCTTCCTTGTACTGCATCCTGTATCATCCCTTGTCTCATTCAGGTGGGATCACTGCTGTTGTCTATGTTGGGAAGCCTATTTAGCAAGAAACTTTGGGTAGTTTCAGTAGTCAACAAGAAACTAAAACCAATAGGAACTGAATTTTGCCACAAAAGTGTATACTGGGCTGGAGAGAGCCTTTGGTGAGTTAAAGCAAACACTTTTTTTTTAAATAGGGGGCAAACACTTTCCGTGCAGGAGGCACAAGTCAGCCACAAACAAAAGCATGTATTTCCTTAAGTCTCAGGAAAGACTGCAACATCAGTAGACTTTTTTTTTCTCTGCAGTTCCACAAATCAAATTCAGGTCTCACATAGGCAAGGTATGTAATGTTTGGCTACATCCCTGGCCCTTCAGCTGACATTTTACCTGCAGCCTTGTAAACACTAAGCAAAAGGATAAGCTAACCCATGATTAAACTTCTGAACCATAGAAACTGTTAAGCAAGGAATGTATGTCATTTTAAACAGATAATTTCATAGTAATTTGTAAGAAGGTAATAGAAAACCAATACAATCCTTCTTGGGGGTGAGGTGCACTTGATTTCTCAAATGAGAATTAGTAGTAGGTTCCTTCCAGAATTGAAATTCTGTGACTAAATATTTTCTATCTCAAACTAATTTATATCATTTTAACCTTTTTTTTTTTTTTTTGCTTTTTGGGCGATGCACAGGGGCTACTCCTCGCTCATGCACTCAGAACTTACTTCGGGCAGTGCTTGAGGGACCATATGGAATGCTGGAAATCAAACCTAGGTTGGCTGCGTGCAAGGCAAACGCCCTACCCACTGTGCTATAGCTCAGCTATAGCTTTAGCTGTGCTATAGCTATTAGTTGTGCTATAGCTTTTACTTTCTTTTCCGAGGGTGAACATTTAAATTTTGGTCTTCATACTACTAGAAGTTCTGACTTTAAAAAGACGTGAATATACACTACAAATAAGTCATGTTACTGCTGATTTCTTAATCAATGCAGAGACAATTTGTGATATTTACAAAAAAAAGATTCTCCACAAACAGGACTATATATTGAAAGCTCTCAACGTGATTTACAAAAAATCGGCATGCAGATGGTTAAATATATAGCTAAACTATGAGAATGACCTTGACATATATTTGTCAGTTAAATGAAGGTTAACAATATTTATTATTCTCACCTGGAACCCATCTGACAAAGGGACTGGTAAGATGAAGCAGGCATGTATACAATAGCAGAATTATAACACAACATGAGAAAACTCAGCACTTCAAACCTAGAAAAACAAGAAGAAGGATTACTTTTGTTTGTTTGGGACCCACCTGGCAGTGATTTGAGCTTACTCTAGGTTCTGCACTCAAAGATCACTCCTGGCAGGGATATAGGGACCAAATGTAGCATCGGGGATCTAACCCAAGTCAGCTGCATGCAAGGCAAAAGCCTTACCTTCTGTACTATTGCTCCAGCACTAGGATTATAGTAGAGATTATAATAAATGAGTTTCATCATTGGATGGTTATAATAATGCCTTAACTGACTTTGATTTGTCAGATTATAATATCCTCTACTCATTTTTCTATTTCCATATTCCTTATTAAAGTTATCTCTTGCTTCTATCTACATTGTTGCCTCAAAAAATAAATCATTAAGTTTGAATAGATGATTCCCTGGATCGGTATAAATCCACCATTTATATATATATATATATATATACATATATATACATATACATATATATACATTCCCTGAATCGATATAAATCCACCATCACTGCAATTATAAAATCTGAACCCATTATGGCATTACAAGATCCTTTAAAATCCACCCACAACCTACCCTTTTACCCTTAATTCCCTCCCTTCTTACCACATACAACACACTACACCAATCATACCATTCTGTGAATATGCCATAACTTTTCATAACTGCTTGCTTTTGCGCATGTCATTCTTTCTTAGAATATACTTTTAGTTCACATTTAATTAATTTATCATTAGTTAATACTATGGTATCTTGGGAGTACAGCTTCACACCTAATTATGGATATAAAATTAACTGGCCTGCCAACAACATCTAGTCCCAGTTCACGTCCAGAAAAAGGCCCCTCCAACAATACCTCCCCTTTCTCTTTGGAAACCATCACAGTTTTCACTGACAGTACGAATTAGTTTTTTTGTTGTTGTTACCAGTTTATCTGCCTATTCATACTCAACAGTACTGAAACTATCTGGTAATTGTCTTTCACTTTTTTACTGATTTCACTTAGCATACTCAACTCAAATTTCACCCACTTTGTCCCAAAAGTCATGGTTCTACTGAGTCTATATACCACCACTTCATTATCTAGTTTTTTGGGGGAGGAGAGGGGTAAGAGGGAGGGGCACTTTGGGCCACAACTGGTGGTGCTCAGGGCTTACTCCTGACTCTACACTCAGGGATCACTCCGGGTGGGTTCAGGGGACCAATGGAGTGCTGGGATTCAAACCCGGGTCAGTCACATTCAAGCAAGCACCCTACCCACTACCATACCATCTCTCCAGCCCAAAGTTCCTGGTTGCAACCCAAGATGGAGTTACTTAAATTTTTAAACACTATTTTAAAATAAATGTCTTTATAATTTATTGTCAGTAAATGCTTAATTTATTTACCAAAATACTTGGGGTCCCCTTTTCTGAAAGAAAAGGGGAATATGAGTTGAAATCTAAAAGAACCTGATCTAGTCATCTGTTAACGGGTACTTAATTCCATGTTTTGGCTATTGTGAATAAAACTTCTTTAAACAGAAGGGCACAAATACCCTTGCAAATTAGTGTGTTCATATCCTTTTGATAAATCCTAGAAGTGTTACCATTTTTACTTCATTATTTTCAGCTTTGGGGGGTTAGACCCCAAAGTGCTTGGAGGCTATTCCTGTCTCAGCATTCAAATACTGTTCTTGGAAGTTCAGGGGGTCTGTGGGTACCGAAACTAAACTTTGTCTCCTATGTGCGAAGCATGCCTTCAGTCTATTAAGCATTCTTCAGTCCCTCCAGTTTAATTTTAAAGAATCCAACAGAGCAACAGTCCCATTTCCTTTACATTACTCCTCACCAGTACTTATTTCCTATCTTTTTATACAGGCTATTCTCATAATGGTTTTAATTTAATTTCCCTAGAAATTGATGTTGACCATTTCATGATGCTGAACATTTTTCCACGTATCTGTGTCTTCTTTAGAGAAGTGTCTATTTAACTATATGAATGTTTTGTGATTGTTCACTGGCTTTTTGATATTGAGCTGTGAGTTTGCCTTTTTGGAGTGGTGGTATAGGTTTGGGGGTGTGGGGGGGAAGATTTAGTCCTCTTCTTGTCCCATTGCCTTCCCCCCAGTTGTGAATTCTTTATATATTTTGGATATTAATCTTTATAGGATGTATGATGCACATTTATTAGGTTGCTTTTCCTGTATTTGGGCCACACCAGGCAATGCTAAGGGGACCATATGAATGCCAGGGATCAAACCTGAATCGGCCGAATGCAAGGCAAGCACCCTATCCACTGTACTCTCTTTACAGCTCTGGGCTGTCTTGTATTTTTCAGTGCTAGAAATTAAACCCAGGGTCTCACAAGTGTGCTCTTCCACTGAGCCACACCAAACAAAATAAAAAGCCCAACAAAAAAAGTTTTGCTTTTTGGTTGTTTCTTTTGCTGTGTAAAAGTTTTCAGTTTGACCCAGTCTCATTTTATTCTTGCCTTTGTTTCCTTTTTAAATGGAGATGGGTCTCAACACAATAATCTAATGCTGAGATGCCAGAGTGTATTACCTTACCTATGATTTAAAAAAAAATTAAGAGGCTATATCTGGTGCTGCTCTGAGGGCCCAGGGGTGACTCCTGATAATGCCCTGTGGAGCAGGAATGGTAGTGCAGTGCTCAACCTCACTGGTATGTGGGAGTCACCATATCTACCCTGAAGGTGCGGGGGAGGTATATAATTCCAGGGATCAAACTCAGGGCCTCTCATATGTTAGATATGAGTTTACCACCTTATCTATATACCCAGTCCATATATTCTTTGTATTTTATGGTTCTGAATCCAATGTCCAAGATGTTAATTTTGCATGTGGTATCAAGTAGTGATCAACATATTTTTTGCATGTAACTAGTCAGTTTTTCAATACCATTTATTAAAAAGAGTTTTTTTGGTTCCTCTGTTGTGGATTAGCTATCCATGTGTGGGTTATTTCTGAGCTTTCTATTCCATCCCAGTGTGCCTGTTACTGTTTTAACACCATACTATAGTAAAAACTATTCTTCCAATTATTCTTAGTAAAAATTATCCTTCCAATTCATAAATACATATGCCTATCTATTTGTATCTTTTCTTTGTAATGTCTTAGAGGTTTCTGATTTACTTTGATATTCTTACTGTAAGATAATTTTTCATTTTTATCCCCTTATTCTGTGCTCAGGGTCTGAACACAGGTCAGCTACGTACTACCTCTCTGGCACAAGACTGTTAATTTTCCTTCTCTTTAACTAAATGTTTGGGTACAAAAATGTAACCAAATGTATACTGATTTTTGTATCATGCCACCTTACTAAATTTATTTTTTTTAACTTTTTTTTTTTGCTTTTTTTTTTTGGGGGGGTCACACCCAGCGATGCACAAGGGTTACTCCTGGCTCTGCACTCAGGAATCACTCCTGGCAGTGCTCAGGGGACCATATGGGATGCTGGAAATTGAACCTGGGTCGGCTGCATGGAAGGCAAACGCCCTACCCCCGTGCTATCTCTCCAGCCCCAAATTTATTATTTTTAATATATACTTTATGGAGTCTTTATGATTATCCATGTATATTTTTAGCATCATCTACAAGGATCAATAGTTTTTTTTTATCTTTTTTGTTTGTTTGGGGGTCATACCTGGCAATGCTCAAGGGTTACTCCTGGCTCTGCATTCAGTAATTATTCCTGGAAATGCTTGGGGAACCATATGGGATGCTGGGGATCAAACCTACGTCAGCCATGTGCAAAGCAAGTGCCCTACCTCTCTCTATACTATCTCTCTGGCCTCTATGTAGGAATACTGCTATTTATTCAGTCATTGATTAGGCTGATTGAATTGTGCATGAACTCCACCTCTGGCCTCATATTTTCCCAATTTTTAATATCATTTCCTTGCTTAACTGCTCAAGCTAGGGCTTCCAAAACAACTGTTAAAAAGTGAAAATAATGTTGGAGTTTGGATATTCATTCTGGTTTTGTTCCAGATCTTAGGAGAAAAGCGTGTAGTTTTTCTTAATCACTAAGTATGTGTGTTGTGGGTTTGTTATATATGACCCTTATTACGTTGAAATATATTTTTTTCTATTCAGTTGTTGAAATTTCACTGTTTAATTCTTTTTGGCTTGGGAGGGTGGTGGTCACACCCAGGAGTGCTCAGTGGCTACTCCTAGCTTGGTGCTTGGGGGTCATTCTTGGTGATGCATGAAGTTCTGAAGTAAAATTAGGCCCCTGCATACAAAGCATGCATTCCTGGCCATTGAAACATCTCCCAGGCCCTAGCTGAGAGATTTTATCATAAACCGATATTGATTTTTTTTTTTTTTGCTTTTTGGGTCACACCTGGAGATGTACAGGGGTTACTCCTGGCGGTGCTCAGGGGACCACATAGGATGCTGGGAATCGAACCCGGGTCAGTCACGTGCAAGGCAAACACCCTAACTGTGCTATCTCTCCAATGCCCCCCACCATGTTGACTTTTTAAAGATGCTTTTTCAGCATCTAGTGATATGATCAAATGATTTATTATCTTTACTTTTGCCTTGCACGTGGCCAACCCGGGTTCGATTCCTCCGTCCTTCTTGGAGAGCCCAGCAAGCTACTAAGAGTATCTTGCCCGCACAGCAAAGCCTGGCAAGCTACCCGTGACGTATTCGATATGCCAAAAACAGTAACAACTATCAAAATGGAGACATTACTGGGCCCGCTCGAGCAAATCGATGAACAACGGGAGAATAGTGCAATGCTACTTTTGTGGGCGTGCTATATTACACTAATAAGTATGTTTATGCTGGGCCATCTTTGTATTCCTAGGATAAATATTATTTATAAAGAATTCTCTTGATGTATGGTTGGGTTTGATTATTCAAGATTTTGAGAATTTTTGCACGTTTCATCAGAGATATTAAATTTAATTTTTATTCTATTATTTAGTTTAGTTTAGTTTTTCTGTTTGTTCACTTGTTTGTTTGGCAACCCCAAGCAGTGTACTGGCAGTTCAGGGCTACTCCCAGCAATACCCAACAGAACTGGATGGTTCACTAATTACGCCAGCCCTGTGATATGATACTTTCTTGGGTCATCAGTACTGAGGGCCTCCAGAGCCATGTAGTGCTCAGGGAGTCTTGTGGTGCTAAGGACCAAACTTTGGGCCATGTACTGAAAGGCAGGCATCCTAAGTTATCGACCTAGCTCAGTTCCTTAAGCTTTTAGTAACTTTCATGGAGTGAGTGATCTAATAATGTATAGGGCCTGACCTTGCCCTAGAGGATGCTTGTCTTGTACACTACTGACCTGGGTTTGACTCTCACTATCCCATATGGTCCCCTGAGCACTGCTAGGAGCAATTCTCAGAGCCAGGAGTTCACTAAGAAGTCCAGAGTGTGGCCCAAAACCAAACAAATAAAAAATCATTTAAATTTATTTTAAAATTATTTATGGAATTCATTTTATAACTATAATATTATAAGCAATAAAACAAGAATAATATTTTACTGTGAACACAAGTTACATAATGAATAATAATGACACTAACATAATGGACCAGGAAGCTCAATTTCTAGTTTTTGAAGGAATGTTCATATTGTTTTCCAAAAAGGCTAGACCAGTCGGCTCTCCCACCAACAGTGAAAAAGTGTCCCTTTTTCCCCTACACCCATTCCAACACTGGTTGCTTTTGTTCTTTTGAATGTGTGCCAGTCTCTGTGGTGTGACTGGTTCTCTTTATTGATAAAGTCCAAGAGCTATGACTAAGTGGAAGGCTACAGAAATGCAATGAGTAATGGAATTAACGAGGAAAACTTCAATGACCTTAACTGACATTGTGGTAATATTCAAAGATACGGATACTGTGTCCTGGGAAAGTTTTTCCTAATATTGTGAACAGAAGGCATGCAAACTCACTTGTTCTCCAAATATTAAAGGAACATTATAAATGGGAAGTAGTAATATTCTCCAAGTCCACAAAGTAAATAATTTTCTGCACAATATTCTGTGGTATACAGACTGGGAAAAGTCAGCATCACCAGCAATAACTTCTAAAATTTGGGACCAAAGAACTTCTATTTGAGAAAATACTATCTTGTCATTAGATACCAACTAAAACTGCCCCTATACAGGGGAGTAAAGTAATCCTGAAATCTGAAATACCCATTAAAATTTGGTGATTTCAGAGAAATAGAAGTAGTGTCAGAAGACTTTAATAATAAAATGGAAATAGTATATACAGGAACATGCTACCAGGGGAATCCCTAAAGAGGATCAGAGCACTCCTAAGCATTAAGTCTTTATTTTTGCTAATGAATATTTTGGCACAAGCTGGCAAAAGACTATCATCACCTGGATAGCAGCCCATGAATACCACTCTGTTGAGTTTATGGATGCTAGTTCTATGATAATGGACTGTATGCTGTTTGGAAGACTGAGTGAAAAACATAAAACCAAATTAGCTGGATGGGTACACGTAAACTGGATGCTGTATGAAGTTTCACTTACTGATGGGTAATAATAGGCATTGGCCTAGATTTATGGTTAGGCAGGACAGCTAAAAATTTTTCATATGAGGAACTACCCTATGGAAATCACTACAGGTATTTGAGGAGTATATAAAAATAAAGTATATCTATGCCTATCAAGAGACACCTTTTTGAGAAGTAGGAGGTGATTTGTATCAGTAAGTACATACTGCAGTGTGCCTGCCTGAAGTTACCACTTAGGTCATGAAATAAGTGAATATGGCTATATGAAGTGATTGCTGATATGGTCGAATTTAGAAAAATTCCTTGTGCACCCTCTGAGATACAAAATGCAGTAAAAACTACTGTGTTGAGGCTGGAGAGATAAGAGAATTTCCTCGACAATCACCTGTGGTATTGCTTGCTGGCATAATAGAACATTTTGTTGTTGTTGTTGTTGTTGTTGTTGTTTGTTTGTTTTTCTGAGAGCCTGGAGAAAAACCCTCAGATTTATGGGCAGGTAATCTTCCACAAAGGAGCTAGGTGCATAAGTGGAGCAAGGAAAACCTCTTTAAATGGTGCTGAGAAAACTAGTCACATGCTAAAATATAAGTCTCTTAAACCATATACAGAAGTTAATTCAAAATGAGTCAGAGACCCAAATTTGGCCTAAATCCATAAAAAACAGAGAAGAAAATATAGGCAGAACTCTCCTCTCCACAGAAAGGACTTCAGAAGCATTTTTAGGGATTCGATATAACTGGCAAAATATAAAAATGTGACTAGTTCAAACTAAACAGTTTCTGCATTGCGAAAATAAAGGAAGTGACATCCAAGTGAATGGGAGAACATCTTCATCATACATCTGATAAATCTCCAAGATATATAAAGCACTCACAAAGCTAAACATCAAAAAGTCATGAAAAAATGGGAAAAGGAGCAAAACACATGTATCCCCAAAGAAGACATAGAAATTGTTGACAGGAATATGAGCAACTGTTCAACTTGTTACCAATCATCAGGGAAATGCAAAAGTCTACTTCATAAAGTGAAAACAACCAGGGTTGGTGGGGCTTGGAGAAAAAGAAACCACTGTTAGTAGAACTGCTGCCTAGATTAGCCTTAATGTAAAACAGTACATACGATTTAAATTAAAAATAAAGGAACCAGAGAAATTGCTCATTAGGCTGTGCATATGCTTTGTATGCAGGAGGCCTGAGTTTCATTCCCAGCACTATCAACAGAATTTCCAAGCACACAGCCAGAAGTAATTATCAATATTTCTATATATCATTATCTCAATAATTAAAAACTATAAGTGGCCTTGTCCAAAAAAGTTTGGTCTGCCCTACTATGAGGAAGTAATCTGCATAGATGTGTCTTTGTTTAGGGTATGGGGCTGACCACATCCCAAATTCTTAGGTGAAGGTTATCAGAAAAAATAACCATGTGATTTGTGGTGGGAGTTCTCGGTAATATAGTATTAATCAATTAAACTGGAAGATAACAGCAACTTGGTGTAAAATCAATTTAATCAATCATGCTTAAATAATGAAATTCAATTAAAAAGTGGACACTAGAAAAATAGGTCAAAGGGCTGAGCACATGCTTTGCATATGGAAGTCCTGAATTTGATCTTTGTAACATATGATCCCTTGAGTACCATTAGGAATGAGCACCTCACACCTAGTGGCCCCTAACCACCCTGCATGTGGCATGGGCCCCAACCCCCCAGGGCTTGCAAATAAACAGTAAAGCTTTTCTGAGTCTAACTTTATCTATGCATACTGTCACACACTGATGCCCAAAAGAAAAAATCCTGAGTCCATGGTGCAGACAATAGGTTTGTATTGGTTTTTGTTCAGGGAGGGGGCCACACCCTGGTTGCTCAGGTACTTTTCCTAGCTCTGTATTCAGGTGTGACACCTGGTAATGTAAGGGCACCATATATGATACTGGGGTTGAAACGGTGTCAACTGTGTGCCTTACCTCCTGTATTCTCTTTCTTGGAATCCTCCCAGACTCTACCCTATGTAGTGATTTTTTTCAATTGCATCATTTCCTTGTAATAGACGGAGTACAAAGTTTTCACTGAATATCAAAGAGTAAAGGTAAAGGTAAAAGGTAAAGGCCCTCCCGTTGTTCATCGATTTGCTCGAGCGGGCCCAGTAACGTCTCCATTGGAGATTTTTTGTTGTTACTGTGTTTGGCATATCAAATACATCACGGGTGGCTTGCCAGGCTCTGCCGTGTGGGCGAGATACTCTAGTTTGGACAAACTCCCAAAGCTGCATCTAGTGCAGAAGTAAGAGCAATTTTGGGGGCTAAGCATTTAAACTTTGCAGTCATTCTGTTTAAATTCAGGTACTACCATTCATTCCATTCTACAAATAAGAAAGCAAGATGTAGAGTAGATAAACTGTCTGAGAAGACAAACTTCTTCATTGAATGCTAGAACACAGACCCTGATTTGGCTAACTTCATGCTTGCATACCACCACCCACCTCTTCTAGTTTTGTACTGCTTTAAACAGTATAATCCCAACAAAGTACCAAGATGGACAGGTACTTAACTGCTGTAATGCTATTTTATTAGTATGACTTATTTATTTTTTGGTTACTTCTTATATTAAACTTGAACCAAAGTAATTATAGCTAAATATTGTAAACATAAATCATTATTACTGTTTATAAAGTTTTGACCATTACCGATTTTGAGCAGTAAATGTTTCCCTCTGAGGATGAAGATCACTATAAACAACCCTGATGAGATCATGCTGACACAAGGCCCCTTCTGTCAAAGCCATGGATCCGATTGTTGAGGGCTATTAAAAATAAGGTAAAATTGAGTACCATTAGAAATAAGGAAAAATATGAGATTGTTATCTCTAAAAAAAATTCTATTATGTAAATATATTTTGTTTCAAACAAACAGCAGTTTTCAGATCATTAGTTTCTTTCAAAACCCTTTGCATTTTTAATTATACACTCTACAGTTCTTTCTGGAAAAAATATACTATATTTAAAAAGATAAGATGAATTTTTTTTTTCTTTTTGGGTCACACCCGGCAATGCTCAAAGGTTCCTCCTGGCTCTGCACTCAGGAATTACTCCTGGCGGTGCTCGGGGGACCATATGGGATGTGGAGGGGGGGAGGGGTCGAACCCGGGTCTGCCGGGTACAGGGCAAATGCCCTCCCCACTGTGATATCACTCCAGCCCAGTAAGATTAATTTATATCAAGAATATGGAATAGAAATTGCCTAGAAGATTCAAGGGTATAAACACATCAATTTTATTTGTAACCAAGAATTCAGAGGAAAACTCCTTATAAGTAAATAGTACAATCTGTATTGAAAAATAGGATCAAATATCACTTTCACTTTGATAATGACATAACCGATTTCATGTATCTAAACTTCAAAAGAACCATTAATTCATACTTGTTTTATTAACATCCGATATTATTTCATAACATAATACAGAAACTTAATTAAAGTCTGTTATTCAAGACATAGTCTACGCTAAAATGAGTTCTGCCTAATAAGAAAGAAGCATTCTATTTCCAACAGAAAAACAAATCCCCAAGAAATTAATTAAACAAGAAATACTTGCATAGAAATGTGAGACTATAAAATACTATTTGTGGATATGAAAATAAAATTCAACTAGTGATGTTTCTTTAATGCTTTCCTCACAACCTTACATATTAAAAACCACTGTAGAAGTATGAGTCATAATATATTTTCTTAAAGAGAACATGCAGGAATTAAACTAACTACTTGATTATCAGTGTTTAAATATTATTTGCTCGAGCGGGCCCAGTAACGTCTCCATTGGAGACTTTGTTGTTACTGTGTTTGGCATATCGAATACTCTCGGTAGCTTGCCGGGCTCTTGTTACTGAACAGAAAACTTAAGACATCTTTATAAAAAAATTATTATACTGTTAATATTTTTCTAGACATTTTTCTAGAAAGATAATAAAAGTATATCAATGTAACAGGTGATCTGTAACTAATATAGAAACTTTTAAATGTTAACATTTTCAAAATTCGTAAAAATCACAGGCTGGAGCAATAGCACAGCATTAGGATGTTTGCGTTGCGCACAGCCAGCCTGGCCGAGCCCGGTTCAATTCCTCTACCGCTCTTGGAGAGCCTAGCAAGCTACCGAGAGTATCTCGCCCGCACAGCAAAGCCTGGAAAGCTACCTGTGACGTATTCAATATGCCAAACACAGTAACAACAAGTCTCTTGGAGACGTTACTGGGTCCGCTCAAGCAAATTGATGAATAATGGGAGGACCGTGACCGTGACCAATAAGAATCACAGACAGAAAATCACATTAATGAAAGAACTAAAAAGTAAACAAACCCAGAAAAGAACTTTTCCATTAATTACTTTCTATCTCTTCAAACAATAGCTCAGCTTTATATCACTAATTACAACCATCCAAGTGTAAGACCCAGATCAGTAAAGATGTGGTACATTTATCTCTGGTAAGAAACTTGCTTTATTTTTTTATTCAATACAAAATATGAGATTAATACCCAAGAATAGCTGAGATCAGCACCAGGAGGATTACTCCATAACTTAGAGGCCAGCCGGGTATTCTAGGGGGGCAGTTCAGATAGAGAAGGGAGCACCAAATAAAGGGTGTTTGGAGGATCCTCCCAGGAAGGGAGATGCATGTCGAAAGTAGACTATGGACTGAACATGTTTGCCACTCAATGCCTCTTTTGCAGACCACAACACCCAAAAGGAGAGAGAGAACACAGGGTATTGCCCTGCTACAGAGGCAGGGGGGGATGGAGGGATGGGGGTGGGGGAGATATTATCCATGGTGGTGGAAAATGGGCACTGGTGGAGGGATGGGTACTTGATCATTGTATAATCGAAACCCAAGCACAAAAAATAGTAAATCTACAACTGTACCTCATGGTGTTTCACTAATAAAAAAAATAAAAATTAAAAAAAAATTTTTTAAAAATTTCGCTTTTTCAATCTTACCTCATGATATATTGAAGGCTTGGATAAAGAAGGGATAGTGAAAGATAGAACTTTATTGTTTCCGTCTTTATCAGCAATTTCCTACAATTAAGAAAGTTTTAAAATTATCAGATGACTGAATCACAAAAATAATTATAGTTATGAATATTTATTTTGAAATAATTATAAATAAATAATTATTATAAAAAGCCAGCTCACTCCTGGCTCTGCACTCAGGAATTCCTCCTGGAGGTGCTCAGGGGACCATATAGATGCCAGGGAAGGAACCTGAGTGGACAAGTCAAAGTCAAGTGCCCTACCCACTGTCTAGTATACCTTTCCTAATCCATTAGCAAACTTGTTCAATTTGAAGGTGAAGTTATCTTTTGAGAGATACTGTGTGAAATACTATACTGAACCTAACAAAGCATGATGAGGACATAAAGCAGGTACTCACAGGACAGGGAGATTTTAAGAGATAAGATCTCTTAGAAACACAACTGAATTAAACAGATTAAATTAGCCAAGAGATCTATACTTATCCAAAAAGTATAATCCTGATTAAAAGAAATTGTTAGTTATTAAGCAATAAACCAATCACCTGACATAAGCTATATATTGTCATAATTTGTCAAAGAGACTAAAAATAAATTCATATTTAAGTGATTTTTATTGAAATGTAAAAAAAATAATCAAATGAGTAGGTGGGCCATACTGGTGCTCCCCAGGGGACCATGAGGTGCTGGGTATCAAAACCAGGGAACCACACCATGTGTTCTTAGTATTTTGAGACATCACCCCAAGCCCATAAGAAAATTATTGCAATTTTGTGATTTTTTTATTTAGTTAATTCTATTTTGACTTTTGTTGTTCTTCTTAGAATTGGGGGGGATGGGTCACAAACACCCCCAGTGCTGGGGGTTCTACTCAGGCTCTGTGTTTTAGGACTATTCCCAGCAGTGCTCGAGTTATCTCTCCGAAAGTGGGAGGGTATGCCCAGGATGAAAATCGGCTTCATATAGGCAAAGCATATATTTCATGACTGAGTTATATCCTCCCAACACATTTTTCAACTTTAAAAAGCACTTCATCTATCATTTAAAAAGACAACGGTGTCCTTTATTTCTCTAGTTTCTGGAACCTAGGATCTTTCAGAGAGAAAAAAATATCTGCATACCAATGCCAGCAATTAAGACTGAAATGTTCCTGCAACTCCTATTTTTTTTTTTTACTACCACTTTGATATATTATATGGGTGCTCAGTGGTTACTCCCGGCTTAGTTCTCAGGGTTGCTCCTGACAAGTGTTCAGAGGACTATGCTTGCCAGGGATCAAATCCCAGCCTCTGGCACGAAAAATATGCACACTCACTCTTTGAGCTATCTCCTACCTTACTTTAAATTTCTCCTAAAGCTCTTACCAGTGTATATAACTGGCATAAAATATATAGAAGTAGTCCTGGAAGACAAGTGGTCCAAGCTTGAGTAGTAACACAGATGAAACAACAGTAATAAACAAGTATAATAACCAAAGCACACAGAGTTAAGAATTTCCCTATAGGACACATTTCTGAGCTTAACATATCATAAGAGACTACCAATTATATGGGAACAATGGTCATACTTCTAATTTTGGCAAGTAAATGAGTTTTAAAAAATCTCCCTAGGGAAATTATTTAACCTCTGTGTAGTTCAACTAGTCACAACCATAACTACACCACTGTGTTTCAGATAAATTTTTATGCTGAGTGAAAATGACACCATTATTAAGCAATACAACTATTTTTTTATTCTTACAATTAAGCCAAATACTTCTGGTTTATCACTGTGTGTATCTGTGAAGAAAGGTATTCTGAAATTTGTTTGAAATGAGGGCAATATGTTTGAAATGGGGTGCCAGAATGATAATTCAATATACTATGTCATATTATAAATTTTCTTTCTAGCATTCTGCTACAAAAAAATATTTTTGATTCATGTGCTTCACTACTGAATTTCACTACATTAAACAAATTAATAGAAATAATACCTTAATGTTAAATAAAATATAAAACACTAAACTCAATTTTATTTTTAAAAATAATATAAAATGGCGGTGGAGGGCACGCCTGGTGTTGCTTAGGGCTTACTCCTGGCTCTGTGGCTCAGGAATCACTTCTGGTGATGCCTAAGGGACCAAATGCAGGACCATTTGTCTGCATAGACTGGCTGCAAGGTACAGGCCTTACCCATTATACATCTCTGTGTTCTCTAAACTCAATTTTATTTACTTATTTTTTATAGTATCTGGAAGAAAGGTAAAGGTAAAGGTAAAGGCCCTCCCGTTGATCGTCGATTTGCTCGAGCGGGCCCAGTAACGTCTCCATTGGAGACTTTGTTGTTACTGTGTCTGGCATATCGAATACTCTCAGTAGCTTGCCGGGCTCTCCGAGAGGGGCGGAGGAATCGAACTCGGGTTGGCCATGTTGGCCGCTTGTAAGGCGAACGCCCTACCGTTGTGCTATCGCTCCAGAAAGGTCAATTTATTATTTTATTATTATGGTTTAGGTAACATGGTTACAATATTATTAATGTTTGAGGTTTTGCTGTACAGCAACACCTTCACCATTATCAAAGTGCCCAAGACTTTCACTGCGTATGTCACTTAGAGTCCATCTTTTTTTTTCTTTATTTTTTTTATTAGTGAATCACCATGAGGTAGAGTACTTACAAACTTTCGTGCTTGCGTTTCAGTCATACAATGCTCAAGTACGCATCCCTCCACCAGTGCCTATTCTCCATCACCAATGATCCCAGTACCCCTCTCACCATCCCCACCCCACCCCACCCCCCCACTCTCCACCCCGCCTCTGCGGCAGGGCATTCCCTTTTGTTCTTTTTCCTTTTGGGTGTTGTAGTTTGCAACAGAGGCATTGTAAATTCAATTTTAAAACAATACATTCACTAAGAAACTTTGCAATCACTAGAGGAAATCGTGATATATCAAAAAAATATCCTGGTTTTAGGTATTCAAATGTTTTATTTAAATTTTGTTGTGACCAGAGTGATAGTAGAGTAGGTACGGCGTTTGCTTTGCATATAGCCAACCCAGATTCAATCCCTGGCATCCCATATCCCCCAACCACTGCCAGTAGTGAATCTCTTGAGTGCAGAGGAGCCAGGGGGTAATAACCCCTGAGTCTCACTGGGTGTGGCCCAAAACCATAATAATAATAATAATAATAATAGTAAAAATAGATTTTGTTGTTCAGGGGCTCACAGTGCATTTGATGAAATGATAAGGGGTCACATACTTGGCTATGGAACTGGGGCTCACATTTGGCAATGTGGGAAAAAGTTCAGGATCAAACTGGAGGTCACATACATGAAATGATGTAAACTAGTACTTCACCCATTGAGCCATATCCCTAAATCCACAAATTTTCTCCTTCTATAGGAGGAAAAAAATACCAACAAGTTACTCAAATTAGAGATTATTGTGCCTAAACCAGACATTCATTTAAAAATTTTACTGCTGACCACAGAACCCAAAAGGAGAGAGAGAGAACAAAAGGGAATGCCCTCCCACAGAGGCAAGGCGGGATGGAGGGGATGGAGGGAGGGAGGGATACTGGGACCCATGGTGGTGGAAAATGGGCACTGGTGGAGGGATGGGTACTTGATCATTGTATAACTGAAACCCAAGCACAAAAATTTGTAAGTCTATAACTGTACCTCATGGTGTTTCACTAATAAAAAAAATAATAAAAAAATTTTTTAAAAATTTTTAAAAAAATTTTACTGCTGACACCAGCTACCACTTATCAACAACAGGGATAAACATATACTAAATACCTCAGGCAACATTCCTAATTCTTGATTGTTTTTTATTCAATGTTTTGTTTTACAAATAAGGCAATGAAAGTGAAGATAAGGGCTTGCTCTTCAAGCCTGTGTTCAAGTCCCTTGAACATGTATCTAGCTTGCTTATTGCATGCTTCTCTGCCTCTCTATTTCTACTCTATGTTCTCTATAGAATCCTCTAAGAAGTCTATATTCTCACTTGAACACACACTTCTCCCTCTCTCTACTCTGATACCTGAGGTATAATGCTGGGGATAAATGAATGAATAAATAAATAATTAAATTTAACAAAGATAAGAAGTAACCTGCCCAAATATGAGTAAGAGGAAGGGTGTGGTTCTGAACAAAATATAAGTGATTCTAAACGCCATTCCTTTCCTCAAATTTATGTTCTACTGAGGAAAATTATTTCTAACAATAATTCTGTTTTTGTGTATGACACTAGGGATTCTCACTCATGTCTTATGCATATAAGGCATGCAATTTACCACCCAAGTCATAACCCAGGTCTCAGTAACAAGTATTAGGGTAACAACTGCTGCATTATAATACTTATTGTGAGACTCAATATTTTGTGAAGTGCTTTACTACTTCTCAACTTTTATTAAGTGAGCTGTTTATTTACAATCAATGCTGCCCAAACTGAGTGCCATAAAGGGAAAATTCAAAAATGTTTAAGGTGTTTAAGAATTCCTCTTAACAGAATTTTATATGTAATACAGATGTAATATAGCTTCAAAAATATCCTGCATTAAAAGTAAAAAAATTTTAATGCAGAACATTTATAAATACTGGTCAAATAAAGTTATTTGAAAAATGTCATAAAATGTTAATGTTGCCAATTATAATAGTTTCGTTTATTTATTGAAATACAGCAGTAACTACTTAATAAACAACTATATGTGCTCCATTTAGGTAGCTATTTCAGTAGCCATTTCAATTTCTTTTTTCCTAAACATCCTTTAAGTATAATTTCTTCAAGTATTATTTGAAAAGGACTTCAAAAAATACTCAGAGAGATCAGACTAGGTAATGCTTTGCAGGCAGCTGACCCAGGTTTGATCCCCAGCACCACATACAGTCCCTTTAGCCACACCATGAGTAATCCCTGAGCACAGCCAGGTGTAGCCCCAAACCTCCCTGGGCCTCCTACCTTCATACTCAGAAGTCTAAGGTAATGACACAATGAATTAGAGCATGTTCTTTGTACATAGGATTCCTGAATTTATTTTTGGTTTGCGGGCTACACCCAGCAGTGCTCAGGACTAACTCCTGACTCTGCTTTCAGGGATCAGTCCTAACGGTGCTCAGGAGACCATATGTGGAACTGGGAATCAAACCTGGGTTGTTCGCATGAAAGGAAAGCACCTGACCCACTGTACTATTGTTTCATCCCCAGGAATCCAGAATTTGATCTTTGGTACTGTGTGGTCCTGAGCATTACAGGAATAATCCACAAATACTAAGCAAGGAATAACCCCTGAGATCTCTGGGATGGTCCAGAAAAAACAAAACAACTTAATTAAAAAATCACTTAGGGCTGAGGATGTACACCAGTAGCTGGGCACAAGAATAATGTGGGAAATGCCCTGGGTGGATTCCTTGAAGGGAAATAAACTTAAAATAAAATTTCCCAAACTAGGGGGATTCCTTGAAGGGAAATAAACTTAAAATAAAATTTCCCAAACTAGGGGTCCTCTGGCTACTCAACAAACTGCTTAAGCCATGATCCCAGAGACTCAGAAACAAATCTTGGAAGCTAGCAGCTTTTGGCAGAAATCCCTCAGATTTAATTATTAAGATTTCAGAATTCCAAAATCACGCACAACATCAAATGCTATTCATAATCAGCTATAGAAAACAAACTGTCTATTGTTGCCTTTTCGGCAGATCTGAGTGTTGGGGTAAAATCCCAAATAATAATGGTGGGTCTGGTGTTGAAATATTGAATGTAATCAAAGTAGAGAGTGTAATGTGGAAATCATCTGCCACATAGGTAGTGGGAGGGTGTGGGATGAGGGATATAATGGGAGTTTTGACGGTGGGAAATGTGCACTGGTGAAGGGATGGGCGTTTCATCATTATATGACTGAGACTTAAACCTGAAGGCTTTGTAATTGCTCTCACAGTGATTCAATAAATAAATTTATAAAAAAAAATTCCCAAACTATAATTTACAACTTACCAAATTATAAATTCCTAACAGAAGTGCTTCAATACAACCATTACTTTGTCTATCTCGGCTAACTGTAAGCCGTAAATAAACCCACATCAATTCTGGCAAGAATTGTAGTGTGAACCTCTTAAGACGAACTTCAGAGCTACGATAGAGCTCAAATAGCTGGTGGCAAACAGGTTCTAGAAGCTAAAAGGAAAAAAATACACATTAGTTACTTCCAGTCTTCGGCTGTGACTATTTTTTCAAAGACACAAATACTTGTAATCCTCAATATTAAATTTTTGCATATTTTAATCAATACGACCTCGATTCTACTAACTTTATATATAAGGTGGTTATAAACTGACCAATCCACTATAAATACTGTGTCCACATAATAACAACATAACTTTCAATACAGCACACTATTAGATAACTAATTTTTAAACAATGTTTATATTTGAAGAGTTTTCCCTGTTTCTTGCCAACCTGTATTATCCTTCAATTTAAGAAGGTTTCTACTAGAAGAAAAAATTTTAAATACACTAGATGGAAATGAACTTTAAAACTCCACTAGGGCCATGACTCAAGCAAAATATATACTACTAAGTATGATAAAGGGTTTTGCCAGTGCATAATATTTGGAAACCCAATTTAATATTTCAATTATATGCAAGTAAAACAAGTGGATTACCTTTATTTTTAAAGACTGACTTAAATTCTATAATGTTTAAAAGATTTTGAAAAGAAAAATACTTAAGATTTTTTAATTTTTCATGATACAAAATGACTTCTGACTTCATGATCTTGAAAACTGAAAATGAGCAAGTAAACTGTACAGTTTCTTAAACACATACCATTTTGAATGATTTCTTAACAATTACAGAGTACACAAAATTTAAGTGTGATAATTTTTTAATGCAGATAAAACACCAACAGAAAACTGTAATACTTAAATTATAAAATGAACACTTCCTGGAACAAAAAGACAGCTGAAAAGGACCTTGGGTTCTCTATTTTTCTCTCTCTCTCCCCCAGCTCCTCCTATCCCCATTGTCTAGTAAGCTCTTTGAGAAATCAAGGCTGGGGAAGTAGCTCAATGGTAGAGCACTTGCCTTGCACATGTGAGACTCTGGATATTATCTTCAGCATCACAAAGGAAAAATCTGAAAACCCTTTCTAACACTTCACTTACACTGAAATCTAGAGCATCACAGAACTTAGTGATGGGAGGAAGACACTAGGACTGAGTCCTTCCAGTATCAAGTTAATGTTCCCATTACCAAAATTCTCACACTAGAATGAAGACAGGGTAGGCATTAAGAGTTATTATTTATCATAAGGGAATTAAAGTTTCTTCTCTCATAAACATCTCTATTAAAAAATATATTCATGTTTCAGATCTTCTTTTCAGTAAGATTCAAAATACGCCTTCTCTAAATTTTACTGCTCATGTTATTTCTCATATCAATAATAAACATATGTAAGACTAACTAAAGATAGCAAAGAAATAGACTGATTGAAATTATTACTGTTTTCAAAAAAATGAAGGGAGAAGTAGCAGTTGGCAGTCCAATAACTTTTATCAGGCAATACTAAAAAGCAAGACTTCAGAATTTTCCAACGCTGTCTTGCTAGTATCTTTAATCCAAAGCATCTATATCATGCCATCATGTTGCTAATTTCTAAATAATAATAATAATAATAATAATAAATGCTTTTGACCTCCCTTAAATGGTACTAAAATCCATAGTGAAGATGTTACAAATCATTATCTGGTTTCTAAAATCATAAGCAAAACTGCCACCTTCCCTAAACTTAGCAGCCAGTTTTGATACACTACTACAAGACATGCTATCTGATCAACATAACAGTTTAGTTAGAAAAATGCACTGAAGCCCAATGAGAGTGGGTTACAAAAGTGATATTAGGAGAGAAAATGGGGATCACAAGTCAGAACTTCTCAACGCAATAGTTTATAAAATTCGTCTGTGAAAAAAGACAGATGTAAGGTTAAAAAAAAAGGCAAATCAAAGTATTGATTTACATCTAACAAAGACTGAATATGTTTTACCATAATCCATTCATCAGGAAAGAGAAAAAAAATCAATGAAAGAAGAAAAATAGGAGGGGACACCTATAAATAGTCTTTGAAGTGGATGGTGAAGTCAGGATTCAGACCTACGTAGAAAAGATGATCTTTGATACAACTTGAACTCTTAAAGCTGAAAAGGCAGAAATGGGAGCAGGAGAGAATAGAACAGTTGGGTAAAAGGCTTGCCCTGCACGCAGCTGGCCATGCTTTGATCCCTGACACAGCATATGGTCCCCTGAGCCTGCCATCAGTGATCTCTGAGCACAAACCAAAGTAAGAGCAGCACAACTGGATGAGGCCCAAATACAAACAAAAAAACAATAGGTAGGAAAGTGTTGGTTGAGATAGATTTGAGTGAGAAGTAACAGGAGTTCCCAATTACTTCCTTCTTTTTTTCAAAGACACTGAAAGCAAGGAAAGTGTGAGGAGAATGGAGGTTAAGAGTATGAAGCAGGAGGAGGTATGAAAGTAATAGTGCAGCAATGTACCAAGAAAGTCAAGCAAAACTATAAGGCAGTATTAGATGCCCATTTGAGATTTTTTGGTCCTGCAGTGAAGAAAGCCAATAAAAATGTATTTCTTCAGTCAGCTGCTCAGATACAGACATGAAGTAGCTAGAAGGCTGTCTCTTATTTAGCATTGAGATTTTTCCAAAGAATATGAATTAAGAGACTAAGAGGCAAAGGTGCTAAGAATGTTTGCAAGGGAATTACTATAATGATGGAGCATGAAAATTTACTTGAGAAAATGAAAGACATTTGATGGGAAGAGGAACAGAAATTGAAACATGAAAAAGCTGCAACAGCTAACTGATTGGATGGCAATCTCCTTCTAGTGAGGATATATTAGACTGACTAGGAGATCTCAAAGGATAGAAGCAGAAAAATAAAATGGCGTATTGTTTTTGAGATTAAAACTTAAGCTATAATACATGTTGGTCAGAACATGCAATATTAAACTTCTAGGAAATATCTTCATAAAGCCTCTTTTGATCTTTAAAACAAAAATTCTAGGACTATCATAAATTTTAATTAACACTACATATGAATGTAACAATATTATGAAATAACTTCTTAACTAATACATTTGTTTCAGAATATAACAAAAACAACTAAAAGGACTCCACTTCTAGGACCAAAGTCCAGAAATACCTTGAGACTCTATAGAAATTAAGGTTCTGTTTTTCTGAAGTATAAAAACACACAGAACTTGGCAAAAGAAAAAAATACAAATTTTTTCTGGGAACTGGCTAATTATAATAATAAATGTTGGATTTTGAGCCAGGATCTCTCAAGTTTTAAATTTTCCACCTCAAAAAATAAGGCCACACATTAATATTTGAAGTATGAACATAAAGTTATCTGGAAAGTTTTACGTTATCAAGGCTTTCAAAGTACAAAGGAGAAAAGGAAGCCAATACTTATAATGTACATGTGAGTCCTAATGAAATGATGACACTTTTTAATCTCACTTCATATTTATTTCACCATTTTTTGAATTAGTATTTAAGTCTGATTAAATACTTAAATTACATCGTGTACATGAACAAATACTAAATTCCAGGGAAATAATAAATACAACTTATCTGACTGCTGCCCATGAAGAGCTCACAGTATAAAGAGAAATCACAAAACGAATACATTTTAATAAGCAAAGCTTAAATGTTAAGACAGTGCAAAACAAGGGCTAGGTAATACACACATCCATGTTTAAAAAGAATTCTGAACACTCCTGATCAAGAGGGCTAAACATATATGTATGTTACCACACCTTGTAAAAAGTTATGAAGTTATAAACATTCATCAATACACAGCAAGAGAATAAAAGAAGCAAATGAATCCTGCAACTGCTGCTATAAATAGCAATAGATGCAAGCCAACTGAGAGCCAATCCAAGTTTAGGAGATAAGAAAGAGAGGTCAATAAGCAAGCTTTTAGTGAGAAGACGAAAATGAAAGTGCGCTTTTAAGTTAAGCTGCTGGTTAGGAGATGATTACCTGAACATCTTCAAACTCACTCCAGTATACAGCAGAGGCGCTCTTGGAGGATGTATCTGGGAAGATAAGAAGCTACTTTCCTGTGTGTTCCTTCCATTTTCATTTAAAATCACACATGAATCCAGTGGTGATAAATCTATGTCAAGCTATTGTGTTTAATGGAAAAATAATGTGTGTACTTTGTATAAATTAACATATAGATTTAGTTGTGACAATGATTCCCTTCCATCACAAAAATGAGTAATAAGAAAGTCTTTGTTTTGGGTCCACACCCAAAGGTTTTCTGCACTCAGGGATCACCCCCGGGGGACTAAGAGACCATAGAATAGAACCTGGGTCAGCCACAGAGACCATAGGAGAGAACCTGGGTCAGCCGCAGGCGAGGCCAGTGCCCTATCCATTGTACTATCACTCTGGTCCTGAAAGTCTTATCAAACTAAGCTTCTTGATCTTGCTATTTAGACTACTGCATCTAAAAACTTACTCTGCTCAGTTCTGAACTAAATTTGTGAGCAGCTTCAGTTCATATAACCGCTTGAGATCATTTGTTAGAGTGATCACACATAATTTCATTTTATCAATGAAATGAGTGCAAATAATAATAAAAATAAATCTCAGTGTGTGGTTAAAATCTGGCTTCCAAAACAAAAATCAGGAAGGTTTCCAATTAAATAATATATTGAGTTGTCAGTTACTCAATTCAAGAATGAAAATACATTATCCTCAATAGAAACTATTTTAATAAAAACATTTAAAAATATAGAGAGGGAGAGCATGGAAAAAGCCAAAGCAACTATAAGAATAAAAAAACAGCAGAAAGTAGTTTCCTAGTCCTATAAAATAAGTTTTTTTTAAAGAGAGAGAAAATTACAAAAGTTACATAGAAGTCATATTACACGTTTTTCTCTTTATTACATCGAATCTATTTTTCTTATAAACTCTCCTACCTCATTATCTGAATCTTGAATAACTTTATAGAGGGCTGGTACCAGTGACTTTTTTCGATGAAGAGTTGCTGCATAATTGGTGATCTGAGTGTCAGGTAATGCCTTTAATAAATATCAAAGGAAAATGAAGGTAAATTTATTATTTTGGAAGTCAAGAACTTAGCGTCATATACCCCCTTAAAAGATCTGTAATAGCATCAACCCAGAAAAGTGAAAACTAAATATTGTAAGTAATAGCCATGAGGGACCTAGTGGCATGGCGCAGTGTTACAGTGCCTGCTTGCAGGCAGGAGGCCACATGAGGCCACAAACTCAATTCCAGGTACAACCCTACATAGCTGAGTGCGATCCCAGCAGCAGTGTCATTGAGATTCCCTATGTCACAACTGTTTACTCCTCAGAGCACCACAAATAAATGTGCAAAGATAAGAACCAAATGTAGTCAAACTCAAGCAAGCACTACAACCAAGGTGGAACTTGTAGATATAATACATAGGGAGGGGAAGTGGGGAAAATAACTATAACGATTAGTAAGCTAATTAAAATGCTTTATAATTTCTTAATCCTGAAAAATAATTAAAAATAACACACCAAGATTTTCTGAAATGGGTTCCTTAGTCAAAAAATAATTTATTTCAATTCACATTTGGTTAAAACATTTCCATTCGGGGGTATGGTGCCGCCAGCAGGTCAATCTGTACCTGGAGGTGAGTGTATCAGCAGCCTGATGGCGCCTTCAGACTTCCAGATGCCCCAAAATTGCTGCTGTGCCTTTGGCCAGACCCCAAAAACTTGGGGCAAAGTTTACCAACAAAGTAAACAGCCAAAAGTTAGGTATGTGGAAAACATACCACAAACCATCTTCGGCTCAGCTATATCATTGGAGGCAAGGCCTCTCTGGTTCCTGATTGAACTGCTTAACAGCCATGATCCCAGAGACTCAGAAACAAATCTCAAAACCCAAAGGCTTTTGGCAGAAATGCGTCCGGTCCCTGCAGTAGGTTACCGGTGCTGGGTCAACCCAGGTGGGAATAGGTTTCGTGCCTTCGCCTGTTCCCCCTGGAGGTCTGGTGGCCACCATCCTCCAGAGTCCACTGAACAGTCAGGTTTGGGCCCGCAGTGACCAGAAACGCAGGGCCTCATGGGATGGAGGTGGAGCCGGTCCTGTCCTCCCTACCCCAACGAGACCCCAAGTCATCGCCCACGAACGGCCTATCTGGCTCCTGATCAAGCTGCTTAATAGCCATGATCCCAAAGACTCAGAAACAAATCTCGAAACCCAGCAGCTTTTGGCAGAAATGTGTCGAACCCCAAAGTAGGTTACTGTTGCTGGGCCACCCCAGGGGGGAAAGGGTGTTGTCCCTCTGCCTGCTTCCCCCTGGCGGCTTGGTGGACGTCATCCTTCAGAGGCCATTGGGCAGTCAGGTTTGGGCCCACAGTGACGAGACATTTTGGCCTCACAGGATGGGGGTGGAGCCGGTCCTGTCCTCCCCACCCCAATGAGACCCCAAGTCATCGCTCACAAACGGCCTGTCTGGCTCCTGATCCTTAACAGCCATGATCCCAGAGATTCAGGAGCAAACCTTGGAACCCAGCAGGTTTTGGCAGAAATCCCTCCAGATTTAAGTGTTAAAATTTTGGAATTTCAAAATCGCACGGCCACTACTGCAGCCATGCAACATCATATGTTATTCATAACCAGCAATAGAAAACAAATTGTCTAAGGGAGCACCAAATAAAGGGTGTTGGGAGGATCCTCCCAGGATGGGAGAAGCATGCTGAAAGTAGCCTATAGACCAAACATGATTGCCACTCAATGCCTCTCTTGCAAACCACAGGACCCAAAAGAAGAGAGAGAGAGAACAAAAGAGAATGCCCTGCCACAGAGGCAGGGTGAGATGGGGAGATGGGGGGGGGGGGGGGGGTGGAAGGGATGCTGGGACCCGTGGTGGTGGAGGATGAATACTGGTGGAGTGATGGGTACTTGATCATTGTATAACTGAAACCCAAGCACAAAAATTTGTAAGCCTATAACTGTACCTCATGGTGTTTCACTAATTGAAAAAAAAAATTTCAATTCAGGTCATAAATTATTTTTAACCAAATTAATGAATAATTTTTAATAAAAGAAAATAAAATCATATAGATAAAACCCTATTTTTGTCTTTAATGGAGTTTTAGAAGTTTTTCTCTTTTGTGAAATAATTTAAGATGTATAACCCCATTAATCCTAAAAACTACTATCATTTTAACAGTCTAGCCTTCATAGACATTTATTGACAGTGTAAGGGAGAAGCCCTCATAGACATTTATTGACAGCGTAAGAGACAAGCATACCAATTTTCTTATTTAGCTTTCCATGCAGGCTGGCTGTCATTCATGACCATTGTTATGCCATTTATCTGACATTAACTGTTAGGATGACTGGCATCAAAGTCACAGTAAAACATTGTTTTGGAGGGAGTTAGATGGAAAATATCCAGTACTTTCCCTTTGCCAGACTCCACCCCAGGCTGTTTTCACTCGGAGCGCCCCAGAGTGGGGCGGGTGAGAGCCCTCTCCGCCCCAAGAATCACAGCCCTGGCAGCCAACCTCCACAACCCAACCATCATCATGCTCCAGGCCGCTTTCCACATGCTTGGGCCAGGCTTCACATATAAGCGAACATATTCCTGGCTGCGCAACACCTCATAAGACACTCCCTACCCATTTTCCATAATTACATCATATTTTATGGGGTTTAGACAGTAGGCAACAAATCATAAAAGGAAAAATATATATTTATGCATATACTTATTTTCCTGACACAGACCCTCTGTGATGCGGTCCTGCTCTACCAGCTGCTCAACAGTCTCCTATGCACTCCATTAACCTCAAGATCAACCTGAGGCCGCAGGAGTCCCAGGTGCTGCCCAGAGACACAGGTAGGTGCATGTCTGTCAGCCCAAAAGCTTCCGTCCCACTCGGAGAGCTGGGCAATCTACCAGAGTATCCCACCCACACAGCAGAGCCTGGCAAGCTACCCATGGCGTATTTGATATGCCAAAAACAGTAACAATAACGGGTCTCATTCCCATGACTACTCTGAAAGAGCCTCCAATACAAGCAACGTTGGGAAAGACGAGTAAGGAGAGGCTGCTAAAATCTCAGGGCTGGGACGAATGGAGACGTTACTGGTGCCCGCTCGAGCAAATCGATGAACAACGGGACAACAGTGATACTTTCCCTTTGCAGTCTCATATGGTGAGGCTTAATTAAAATATGCAAAGTTACTAGCATCTTTTTAAAAAGCAAGAAATCTGGGCTTGGAGCAATAGTACAGCAGGTAAGGCATTTGCCTTGCACGTGGCAAACCTGAGTTCGATTTCCAGCATCCCATATGATCCCCTGAGCACTGCCAGGAGGAATTCCTGAGTGCAGAGCCAAGAGAAACACCTGAGCATAGCTGGGAGTGACCCAAAAAAAGAAGAAAAGAAAATCAGTCTCATGCAGCTAATAAAGGCATTATTCTGTTTAAAAAAGGAAAAAAAATGGCTAGAAATCTTTTATTGACATATAGTTTCATGTAACACCTTCTAAAAATATTCTTTCATCCCTTTCCTACTTCCTTTCTCTTTTTTCTTTTTTTTTTTTAATTAAATCACCGTGAGAACAATTACAAGGCTTTCAGGTTTAAGTCTCAGTCATACAATGATCGATCAAACACCCATCCCTTCACCAGTGCACATGTTCCACCACCAAAAACTCCAGTATACCCCCCATCCCACCCCTCCCCCTGCCTGTGTAGCAGATGATTTCCACTTTACTCTCTCTCTCTCTACTTAGATTACATTCAATTTTTCGATAGAAGACCCACCATTATTATTTGGAATTTTACACCAACAATCAGACCTGACGAAAAGGCATCATTACATAATTTGTTTTCTACTGCTGATAATGAAGAGCATATGATGTCACACACGCGATTTTGGATTTCTGATATTTTAGTAACTAAGTCCAGAGGGATTTCTGCAAAAAGTCTCTGGGTTCCAAGATTGATTTGTGTGCCTATGGGATCATGGCTATTCAGGAGCTGGAAAAGCCGGTCGTGGGCAGCAAATCAGGGTCTCATCAGGATGGTGAGAGGGGTCAGTTCCACCCCTCATCCCGAGAAGTCCCGCAGGTCTTGTCACTACAAGCTCATACCTCTCTGTCCAATAGGCTCTGAAAGATGGCGGTCACCATGTGGCCACCGAGGGGAAAAGGCGGAAGGGACAACGCCCTTTCCCACTCGGAGCAGTACGAGGCCGTAGCTAATTCACAGCCTGGATGCATTTCTGCCAAGAGCCACTGGGTTCCAAGATTGGTTTGTGTGCCTCTGGGATCATGGCCGCTCAGGAGCCAGGTCATGGGCAGCAACTCAGGGTCTCGTCAGGGCAGGGAGAGACTACTTCCTTTCTTACTGCTGTTGTTTTAACACAAAGTTGGTGGGGATGAGGATATGCACACATATAGTCCATGGTGGTTGCATATTTTATGCTAGGGAGCTTGCTAGGGATCACATCAGGTTGTGCTCAAATACTGGTCATAATACTCACTAAAGTTTTCACTCCTTTAGATTTGATGTTCACAACAAGTACTGGCCAGAGGTCACACTTCCTTGCCAAACACACCCCATTTGTTGTTGTACTATTAGCTGGAGAGGAAGGGTTACACCATTGTTGTGCTAGTATTTACACACACCTGGCTACAGTGTAGTCAGCAACTGTTTATGGTGCAGGGAATGACAGACAGCAGAACTGCTGCCTAAAACAGCAGAGCTATACACTTGGCACATGTGGTACACTGGGGATGTGAACTCATAACCGTACACTTGCAAGGCAGGTAACCTAAGCCACTCCAGTATTTCACTATTTTTTTTCTTATTTCACATTCTTTTGCTTTGGGGACCACACCCAGCAGTACTCAGTGGTTACTCTTAGCTCAATGTTCAGGGATCATTCCTTATAGTGTTTGGGGGACCCTGAACCAGGGCCACCCACAGAAAAGGCAAGTAACTTTAACTCCAGTCTTCTTCCACATTCCTTTTTTATTATTTATTTTTTAATTTTTTATTTTTTAGGTCACACCAGGCAGTACTCAGAGGTTACTCCTGGCTCTGCACTCAGGAATCACTCCTAGCAGGCTTGAGGGATCATGTTTGATACCATGATCTAATCCAGTTTGGCCGTGTGGAAGGCTGCCTGCTGTACTATTTCTCCGGCCCGTTTTATATCTTTAATGTGACGGGAATCACGAATCACGACCATCCTGTTATTCGTCGATTGCCTCAAGTAGGCCCCAGTAACGTCTCCTGCATCCTAGCCCTGAGATTTTTAAGAAAGTGCTATATTCAAGGCTCTTTAGGAGAAAATGAGACCCATCATTGTTACTGGTATTTGGCATATTGGGTACACCACGGGGAGTTTGCCAGACTCTGCCGTGTGGGCAGGTTACATTCGGTAGCCTGCCAGTTTGTCCAAAGTAGGAATGAGATCATAAGATGTTATAATAAGATGTCGCACGGCCGCATTTGCGGCCGCACGGTTCTGGGAGCTAGTTTTTATAGTCTCTGAGTCTTGGCCATTGATGGGATTACACGGGCAGATAGTTTCGGGAAAGAAGGGAAATGTGTTCAACAGAGAACACAACATAGGCTTCTCCAGAGTAGAAATAAGCAAGCAAAAACAGAGACAAGCAAGCAAAATATGTGTTCAAGGAAGAACAGGGGCTGGAAGAGCAAGCCCATTTTCACTTTATTAACTCCAATACAACTTACCTTGAATTCTGATAACCATTCTTCCACAACACCACGTTCAGATCCCAGCATCTTCTACTTCTTCTATGCTTTTATAACTGAAAGGGGGGTAAAAAAGGATACTGAACTTGAGAATAACATTACTTACAAAAACCATAAAGAGTAAATGTGAATCCAGGAAATGATAGAGGATGAGTTTGATCCCAGGCACCACATGGCCTTCTAAACATTATCAAGTATAGCCCTTTAGGTCCTCAAACATGGCATGGTAACCACAGCACCCAAAAGGAGAGAGAGAGAGAGAGAGAGAGAGCAAGAGAGAGAGAGAGAGAGAGAGAACAAAAGGGAATGCCCTGCCACAGACGCAGGGCAGGACGGGGGGGATGGGGGGGTGGGAGGAATACTGGGATCCGTGGTGGTGGAAAATGGGCACTGGTGGAGGGATGGGTATTTTGATCATTGTATAATTGAAACCCAAGCACAAATATTTGTAAGTCTACAACTGTACCTCATGGTGTTTCACTAATAAAAATTTTAAAAAATAAAAAAATAAAAAGAAATTGCATGTTGTGTCTCTGGATGTCTCCTACACCATCAGGACGGCACAACTGGTACCCAGCACTGCCAGGCCCACACAGCAGCACATCCTCAGGCCCTGGCAATCACCATCCTATTTGGCTAAAAAACTCCCAGAAGTGTCCCTAAGCACTCCCAGTAACACCTAGGAGGTCCCTCCGAAAACGTAACTTATATGTATCTTTCATTAAAAGAAAAATTTGCTTATTTAATTCATTTATTTATTCTGCTTTTGGGGACTATACCTGGCAATGCTAAAGACTTGGCTTTATGTTCAGGGACTACTCCCAGCCTTGCTCAAGGGAACAGGCTATACTGGAAATCAAGCCAGGGCCTCCTGAATATAAAACCTGAGCTCCATGCACACAGCCTGTTGAACTGTCAGTCCCCAAACTTGTACATTTTATTTTTTATTTTTATGTAGGAGTACTACTATTTATTCAGCCACTGATTAGGCTGATTGAATTGGGCATGAACTCCACAAAACTTGTATATTTTAAGATAAGGAGGAATACTTTCAGAGCAGAATGAAATTAAAGCAAAGCTGTTTTTTTAATGCTTTTATAGTCTCAGTAACAATTCAAAAGAGCTAAAATCAAGCTTACTGAGTGGAATTAAACAGTACATTATCCATGACAAATGTACAGACTATTTTAAGAGCTTTAATCATGTAGCTAAAATAAATTAAACATGATAGAATAAAACATGTGAAAGAAATTTAGAAAGAAATCTATTACTCAAGGACTTGAAGAAAAACATCAATAGCAATGCAATATTAGTGGGAGATTTCAACACCGCTATATCACCTCTTGATAGATCAACCAGACTCAAGTTTAGCAAGGACATACTTTATCTGAGGAAAGAAATGGAAGAAAGAGGCTTAGTAGATATATACAGGATACTTCATCCTCAAAAAGTTGAATACACATTCTTCTCAAGTGTGCATGGGACATTCTCCAAGATAGATCACATGCTGGGCCACAGAACATACCTCCATAAAATTAAGAAGATAGAGATTATATTAAGGATCTTCTCAAACCATCATGTGCTGAAATAGAAGTGAATCATACACACACAAACAGAAAATCAAATCAAACACCTGGAAATTAAACAGCTCACTACTGAACAACAAACAAGCGGCTCAGAAAGGAAATCAAAAGATTCCTGGAAACAAACGAGAATAAATACATGAGTTACCAGAACTTATGAGACATGGCAAAAGCTGTGTTAAGAGCAGAGTTTATAGCTCTACAAGCATTCCTCAGGAAGGAAGAACAAGCCCACATAAGTAGCCTAACCTCACAGCTTAAGATCTCGGAGAACAACCACCAAAGGAGCCCAATCCAGGCGGGAGGAAGGAAATAATAAAACTCAGACCAGAAATTAATGAGATGGAAGTCCAAAAAACAATCCAAAAGATCAATGGAACCAAGAGCTGGTTCTATGAGAAAATAAACAAGATAGATAAACCTCTGCAAGAGTCCCAAAGAAAGGGAGAGAGAAAACCTTAATAAACAGAATCAGAAATGAAAAGGGGAACATCACAACAGAAACTACAGAAATTCAAAGGATCATCAGAGATTACTTTGAGAGTCTTTATGCCACGAAACAAGAAAACCTCAAGGAAATGGATAAATTCCTGCATCCCTACTGCCTCCTGAGACTGAATCAAGAAGACCTGATTCAAGAGAATTACAAGCCAATACCCCTAATGAACACAGACGCTAAGATCCTCAACAAAATACTAGCAAATAGAATCCAATGACTCATCAAAAAGATTATGCACCACGACCAAGTAGGATTTATTCCAGGGATGCAAGGATGTTTTAACATTCTCAAGTCCTTCAACATAATTCATCATATCAATAAAAGATAAAAACCATATGATTGTATCAACAGACACAGAAAAAGCATTTGACAAGATCCAGTACCCATTTATGATGAAAACTCTCAGGAAAATGGGAATTGAAGGAACTTTCCTCAATATAGTCAAAGCCATCTACCACAAGCCCACAGCAAGCATTATTCTCAATGGGGAGAAAATAAAAGCCTTTCCTGTAAGATCGGGGACAAGACAAGGTTGCCCACTCTTGCCACTCCAACATAGTACTGGAAGTTCTTGCCATAGCAGTTAGGAAAAAAAAAGGTATCAAGGCCATACGGATAGGAAAGAAAGAGGTGAAGCTATCACTATTTGTGGGCATTTGATACTATACTTAGGAAATTCTAAAGACTCTACAAAAAAGCTTCTAGAAACAACATGTTTGTATAGTAAAGTGGCAGGCTGAAAAATCAACCTTCAAAAGTTCATGGCTTTCCTATATACAAATAATGAAAGAGAAGAAATATATTTAAAAAAGCCAATCCTGTTCATTGTAGTGCCTCAGAAAATCAAGTACCTTGGAATCAGCTAAACTAAATTGGTGAATGACCTATATGAAGAAGATTACAAAACACTATTCAAGAAATAAGAGAGGACACTAGGAAATGGAGACACATCCGCTCTCATTGATAGGGAGGACTAACATTATCAAAATAGCAATACTCCCCAAAGTATATACAGATTTAATACAGATCCCTAAAAGGATACCCATGACATTCCTCAAAGAAATAGACAAAACACTCCGAAAATTCATATGGAACAATAAACCCCCATGAATAGCTAAAGCAATCCTCTAGAAAAAGAAGATGAGTCTCATCACCTTCTCCAACTTCAAACTGTACTACAAAGTTGTAGTAGTAATTAAAACAGCATGGTATTGGACTAGAAACAGACCCGAAGACTAATGGAACAGAGTTAAATATTCTGTCACAGACTCTCAGAGATATGATCACTTAATCTTTGATAAATAAGCAAGAAATTGAAGTGAAATAAGGAAAGCCTCTTCAATAAGTGGTCCTGGGAAAACTGGACAGCTACCTGCAAAAAATGAACTCTGACCTGTCTAACGCCAGGCACAAAATAGTCAAATTAAAGCAGATTAAAGACCTCAATATTCATAAGATACATGGAGGAAAATGTAGGCAGACACCTCAATAATACTGAAGCTAAAAGCATCTTTAAGGATGAAACACCACTGTCCAAGCAAGTGGAAACAGACATAAACAAATGGGACTACATTAAACTAAGCTTCTACACCTCAAAAAAAAAAAAACAGTGAAACCCTCACCAAAATGGGGATAGAAGGGACTTTCCTCAATATCGTTAAAGCCATCTACCACAAGCTGTACAGCAAGCATCATCCTCAGTGGGGAAAAACTGAGAGCCTTCCCCTTAAGATCAGGGATGAGACACTCTCCACTGCTGTTCAATATAGTACTGGAAGTACTTGCAATAGCGATTAGGCAAGAAAAAGATATTAAGGGCATCCAGGTAGGAAAGGAAGAAATCAAGCTCTCACTATTCGCAGATGATATGATACTATACTTAGAGAACCCTAAAACATCTACCAAGAAACTCCTAGAAACAATAGACAATTGTATAGTCAAGTTGCAGGCTATAAAATTAATACCCCAAAGTCCATGGCTTTCCTATACGCAAACAGTGAAAGAGAAGAAAGTGACAGGAAGAAAACAATCCCGTTTACAATTGTGCCCCAGAAAATCAAGTACCTAGGAATCACCTTAACTAAGGAAGTAAAGGACCTGTACAAAGAAAACTATAGAACACTACTTCAGGAAATAAAAGAGGACACGAGGAAATGGAAAAATATCCCCTGTTCATGGATCGGGAGAATTAACATTGTCAAAATGGCAATACTTCCCAAAGCACTGTACAAATTCAACGGAATCCCTATTACAATACCCATGACATTCTTCAAAGAAATGGAGCAAACACTCCTGATATTTATATGGAACAATAAGACCCCACGAATAGCTAAAGGAATTCTTGGGAAAAAGAAAATGGGAGGAATCAACCTCCCTAACTTCAAACTCTACTACAAAGCAGTAATAATAAAACAGCATGGTACTGGAACAACGGCAGAGCTGTAGATAAATGGAACAGGGCTGAATATACTGACATCTCCCCCCAAGCATATGATCATCTAATCTTTGATAAGGGGGCAAGAAAAGTGAAGTGGAGCAAGGAAAGCCTCTTTAACAAATTGTGCTGGCAAAACTGGACAGCTACATGCAAAAAAGTGGGCTCAGATCTCTGCCTAACGCCATGTACAAAAGTAAGACCAAAGTGGATTAAAGACCTCAACATCAGACTGGAATCCATAAGATACATTGAAGAAAAAGTTGGCAAAACCCTCCATGACATTGAAGCTAATGGTATCTTCAAAGATATCATGCCACTGGCCAAGCAAGTGAAAACAGAGATAGACAAATGGGACTATCTTAAACTAGAAGCTTCTGCACCTCAAAAGAAACAGTGACCAAAATACAAAGACAGTCTACAGAATGGGAAAGGATATTCGCTGAATACACATCCAACAAGTGGTTGATATCAAGAATATACCAAGTACTGGTTGAACTCCACAAGAAGAAAACTTCCAACCCCATCAAAAAATGGGGA